ATGTAGATGTTAAATAGCAAGGGGGACAAAATGGACCCCTGCGGAACTCCATGGCATAACTGCCATGGCGCAGAGCCATAGTCCCTCAGCACCACCTTCTGGAATCGGCCATTGAGATAGGAGCAGAACCACCGCAAAGTGGTGCCTCCAACTCCCAATCCCGCTAGCCTATCCAGAAGGATACCATGGTCGATGGTTTCAAAAGCCGCTGAGAGGTCCAGAAGAACCAACAGGGACGCACTCCCCCTGTCTCTCTCCCTGCACAGGTCATCGTACAGGGCGACCAAGGCAGATTCAGTACCGTACCCAGGTCTGAAGCCAGACTGAAATGGGTCCAGATAATCAGTTTTATCCAAGAGTGCCTGGAGTTGTCCCGCCACCACCCGCTCTAGCACCTTGCCCAGGAACGGAATGTTGGCCTCCAGTCTATAATTGGCAACCACCTCTGGATCCAGGGATGCCTTCTTTAGGACTGGCCGGACTACCGCCTCCTTTAAAGGGGCAGGTACCCAGCTGTCTCTGAAAGAGGCATTGACCACCTCCAGGATCAAGGTCACAATCACGTCCTTGGCATTCTTGAGTAGCCAAGATGGGCAAGGGTCTAGTAAGCAGGTGGTAGGACGTATTTGTCCAAGCACCTTGTCCACATCATCAGGCCACAACAACTGAAATTCATCCATCAGTTAAGGACTCAACGGCGTCATTGGCACCTCCCCAATAGAATCTGATTCAATAGTAGAGTCCAGCTCGTGACAAATCTGAGCGATTTTCTCCCTAAAATGCTTGGCGAAGTCATCACAGCGGGCCTTCGAGGGTGGCCCAGATCTTTCTTTGGGCCCGGATTTACCAGCCCCTGCACCACCCAAAAGAGCTCCGCCAGACGGCATTGTGAGGAGGCAATGGAAGCAGAGAAGAATTTCTTCTTCGCCGCTCTCACCGCCACAGCATAGGCCCGATAGTGGGCTCTTAAGTGTTTTCGGTCAGATTCATCCTGTGATCTCCTCCACCTACGCTCTAGACGTCTCCCAACCCGCTTCATCGCCCATAATTCAGGTTTGTACCAAAGAGATGAACGGGCTCTGCCAAAAAATAAATTGACTCAAGGAGTAGTCCTATGGTCCCAGGGAGAATTTTCCAAGGACTGTAAGTTGCTCAGAAAAATCTGTCTCAGATTGGAGGTAATGTTATTACCTCAGATGGGAGAGTCAGAAATTCAGGCTTTCTTTTCTTAACATAGATGAATAACAGTTGATTGTCCACAAACTTGTCTGCCTAGTTTACTGATACTTTGTAAAAGAGGTATTACTTCTACAGCTTCACATATTAAACAGATGTCTTGATTAAGAACATACCCACATAAAATATACCAGAATCTGCTTGCTATTAACTTCCTTTACAGTTTGCATTCAACTTTTTTGGAAATTTTCCCCACTTGGATAATTGCTTACCTTTGTGGCTATAGGAAAGTCTTGTAAGAAAAATGAAAGTTGAGGTGCTGACCTGTCATCTACTATAAGGAGGAGAGTTTGCTATGACTTTCCTTCATGGAATATTCACAGTTCCAATGGACATGACTAGATCTTACTTAAAGGAAACTGTCTATATTTCTGGAGAGGATATAGATCAGTGAAAGCACAGATGTGCTGCATGCAGAAGGTCCCACATTCTGTCCTTGACAACTCCAGGTAAAACCAGGAGAAAACCTAGACTCTGGAGATAGAAGGATCAGTAGTTTTATTGACGATACAGCAGTAGAGATTATTTCACAAGTTCTGTGCTGAGACTGCAAAAAGTTAAATGCCACTGTCAAGCAATGTCAACCTCATTTTTGAGGCATGAATAAACCCAAGTTAAATATTTACATTCTGGGTCCTGAACTCTTGAGTACTCTCTTAGTGTTTCCTTCAGACAAGCCCCCTCCCTGCCAACTTCAGCTTTCAGGTCTACTAAATCTTTAATCATATGAATTGCTAGGAATGGGAAGATGATAACTGCTCTGAGGGGTGTCATTTATTATTTAATGATGGCCTGGTATAATGTCTAAATTGCATCATTAAGGGAGCATAAGTGTGGTTTGGTGTGATACCTGAATTGGCAAACTGTATTCAAGAGAGGACTTTTTTTTCCTGGAGGTTGCCACACCATGAAGGTGGGAGGGAGCTTAACAAACTGAATGATGGGAGAACAGAAAAATAAAGTAGACAAACAGCATTAAAGTGTAGTTTGTCTATCATAAAGTTATAGAAACACAAACCATGGTTTGCCATGAGGTCTTCACTGATTATCCACATGAGTAAAGAATTATTGTGGTATCTCTTCATAACATTTTGGATAATAACTTAATAGTTTTGCTTTTTAATTTTATGTATGTCAGAGTTTGCAAATGCACAGTCTCCATGTTTTCTTTCCAGACTCAGAGAGCTGGTTTTGAGAGAGAGAGATGCAAAGACAAAACTTCAGATTAACATACAACAACTGAAGGAAGAAGCCACAAGACTGAGCAAAGAATTAGAGCAGTCAAAACAAAAAGAAAAGGATCAACAAAAGGCACTGCAGACTTTAGAAGAGGCATTGTCCAAGATGGAGACACGAAGAGTACAGCAGCAAGCTTCAGAGGTATCTTTAGCTTTGACTGTAGAACGAAATGAAGTGTATTGGTACTTCATTTATAAATCTCTGCATAAAAAAAGAATCTCATCATACAGAGTTGTTCAAAGCTATATCTGACGGGTATAGTAGACCTAATTTTCTGCATCATACTGTGGAATATGGTTTGTTCATATGTTAAGTGTCTGCATAATTGCATATGTTTTTGTTAGTGACGCAAAGAACAAGATCATCACAGAAACATAAAAGATGCATTGGTTCAGACCAAAGAGCTATGTAGTCTGGCATTCTGTTTCTACACCAGCCAACCAAATGTCTCTGGGAAGTTCATAGTCAGACATAAGTGCACCAACATCCTATTGTTTGTGTTCTGGAGGAACTTGTACTATAAGGCATATTGTGTGGTACTTAACTCTGTTGTGTGTGAAGAAGGCCTTCCTTTGCATCTCCTACATGGAGACTGGCTGTAAATATGTATATGTATGATAACTTCCTGTAATCTTGGCGGCTGGAAGATACACTGCTACTATTTCAGTTGTATCCTTGTATAGATCCAAAAAATCACAGGGATAAGTAATTATTTCTGTTCTATGGGTTGAAGATGGCTGCTGAATGGGTCTGGCTATGTGTATGTTGGTTGAACTCTAAAATACATAACACAGTTATGTTGTTCACCAAAGTGGGTGGGGAACTTTGGGGGAAGTTATGTAAGGCTTCAGTATTCTTCTTTATACTGAAATTGCAAGTCACCAAAAAAGTAATTTTTATTTATTTGAAGTCTTTTTTTCTGTTCCTTAGCCAAAGGTCTCCGAAGCAGGACAGTCCCTGCAAGAGAGCTTACAGTCTAAAATGATATAATACACAAGGAAAAATGGATGAGAAGGGAAGAGGAAGTCTTTCAGCAGTGCTGGGAGAATGGCCCTGCTTCTCTTCTGTACATTTCCTCTGTATGGCCCATGCCTTCACATTACAGAATATCACAAGCAGCTTGTAATTAGTTAGAATGATAAACATGGGGTGTTTCTGTGTCAAATCATTGACACTTGATAAATCACAGGCAAAACCACCTGTTCCACTGTGATTTTTTTCTGGTAATGCCAAACTAGCTGCTTCCCTTACCTTGGTTTGAAATATCTCATAGATGAAACAAATTCGAGCAGCAGAACTTAAAGCTTCAGCAGCTGAGAGAGAAGTGCAGTTACTTAAAATATCTCTTCAGCAACAGAAAGAGAAGCTGGAAGAAGTCCATGAACTTCTTACCTTGAGAGAACAAGAACACAGGTACATACTTTCTTCCTGTAAATGCATATGTGATTTTTAAGTATGTGTAGATTTGTGCATTTTAAAAAATGCAATGAGTAGTCAAAAATGCAGATGCAAACTACTTTTATTACTTAAAATGAATACTAATTTGAAAAAGTAGGATTCCTTGATCAGATCATAGCAAAAATAGCCTTTTTGTGTGCATTTTATTTTATCTGAGACATTTTAATGCTGCTTTTCAGAACCAAAACAGATCTTGAGGCAGCTTACCATTAAGAAAATGTCAACCAAAAATAGTATTATTACTACCCCCAATAGTTGAAAAAAATCAATAAAAGTCTAAGAAAATACATCATAAAATACATCAGCTTAGTTACCAATCTGAATTGCAGCAAAACAAGGATATCAAAGGAGGGAATTTCAAAGAAGAGTTGAAATGAAAAATGTCTTCAAGGCCCTCTTGGGAAAAAGGTGGGTGGAGGGCAATATATCTGGAGAAGAATTTTCATGAATCAGTGATGTGGGGCACCAGCTGTACCCAGTATCAACAGAATGTCAGATAAAACAATCAGAATCAGTTCTGTGTATTATACAAGAAAGTTCTTTAGATGGTTCCAAGAAATCAAGCTATAGCTTGTTCGTAAGGAGCTTTTAAAGGTAAGTGGTGCTTGTGCCTTTTTAAATAATTTACAAGTTCCATGTGGAAGAAGACAAAGGAAGCAGTCCTTTTAACAGAAACAGTTGCCCTATTTGTGAAGTACTTTCCAGTCAGCCTTGTACATGGAGTTCTTCAGTGCTGTATGTGCTCAATTCTGTATGTGGACTTCTAGGAGGTATAAAAGAACTCCACTTACAGCAAAGCAGCTGTCACTTGCCTTAGAGTTTAGCTTCTTGCCTGTATGTCTTCTCATTCCAGAAAAGCCCTTGAAACTAGAGTTACATTAAATGGCTCAGAGTTCCAAGAAGCTCTGTCAAAAGAAATTTCTAGAGAACAACAGAATCATGAACATCATGTTAAAGAACTTCAGGAGAAAATCCATCTGTTAAACCAGAATTACAAGGAATTAGAAGATGAGTTTCGTATTGCATTGACAATAGAAGCCAAAAGATTTACAGAGGTAAAAGATGAGGAGTGGATGGAGAGAAAAACCTGAGGAAATCTGCTTTAAGCAATAACATGCCACTGTAGTCAGTTTTATAACTAGAAATTGTACTTATATTTCTCATGGTGGAACTTGAGGTGACTGAATACAATAGGGGGAAAAAGCTCAGTATTCAGGTTTTTTATTTAGGTAGTTCCCAAATTTAAAAATGCATAGTAATACGTTGTCATAATCATAAATACATAATCATGTTAAAACTGTTTTTAAAAGCCTGTATACACATTCTGTATGCTAAGAGAACAATACTATGATTTCAGGAAGGGTAACTGAGGATGCACGTGGAACTGTGAGTTTCCCTTTCCATGGGAAGAGATTTCTCTAAAAGTGAAAAGCTGCATTACTGTGGCTGCCTTGCAGGCACTGGTCTGTAGGTGGCAAAGGTAGAAAGGGGCCATAACAGAGGTAGATTGGAAGCATCTTTGGTTCCACTGGAACCAAAGCCTCCCTGGACATACCTGTGAATAAGTTCCAGTGGGAGAAGGAACTTAAGAAGTACTGGTGAGGAATGAGTCCTGCACTGAGGAGGGGGTTGAACTCACTGGCCTTCTAGGCGCCTTCCAACTGTATGATTCTATGATGGTGGGGGAGGTAAAAGCCACCCCATCACTGTGCTGTATGACCTCTTCAGGGCTTAGGAAGTGGTAGTTTCTCTACTGCAGACACCCTCCATCCATTGGCCTACATATGACTGCTTTGTAAAAAACTTTCTATGCCTATTTAGATTGCCTTTTATACATTAGGACTGCAATCCTACTTATACCCACTGAGAAGTAAGTTCCATTGAGTCCAGTACAGCTTCCTTCTGAGCAAACATGCATAGGATTGCACTGGTCATTAAATATTTCTTATTTTTACTGTTTTAGCAAATTATATACAAATTTTATTTGTGCACTTCAAGCTGAAATTCAGGCTGAATTAGAATTATTCACATTGTACACCTCCCACAAGAATAAAAAAAAAGGCATGGGCTTTAGCTATGTTTTTTCATCTATATGCACAGCAATCCTGTGGCCACTATATAGAATCTAGATAGTGATAGGATTGCTTAGATTCCCAGCTATGAGATCAGAAAATTATTCAGACCTTGTAGCTGGAGGTGAGCACCCTGATTTCCCTGCCTCCCAAGCCAACACAGAACATATCGTAGTGGTGCCTCAGCCCCTTCCAACTACTTTGAGGCGCCAAAATTAGCAATTTTAACTGTTTGCAGGGTTGGAATACTGTAAAGTTGACCTTTACCTTTGTGCTTCTGCTCTGCTTAGGATGTCAGTAGTCTTCCCAGTTTGAAGGGTTACAGGCATCTACATAGGACTGTCTATGAATGCTTAAGATTTTCCTTCAAACTAATACAGTTATTCATTTTCATCTTTCAGCTCTCTTTTTAAAAAATTGATTTGCCTGCTTTGTTCCAATCTGTTTCATAACTTTGACGATTCTTTAAATGATGAAAACTGTTGTCTTCAGATGAACCTGTTGATGTGATGAGCAGGTTAAACAATTGAAGGAATTCTAGCTGCAGATACTTAACCATTGATTTACTCCAGTTCTTTAGGGTGAATCAATTTTTAAAAATCTGCAGCAAGCACACACTAGTTGTGTGGTTTGCCTCCAGCTCCAAAAATTATTATGTCTGAAGACAGATTTTGCCACAGTGTTTTCTTTACAAAGAAAAGTAGTATGTCATAATAAGGTGTAAATTCATGATTTTATGATGTATCTCTTTTAAAAATAATGTTTTTTAAATATCTATTTGAAACCAGCTTTTATCCACATGTCTTTTGCTTGCTTGCTTGCTTGCTTGCTTGCTTGCTTGCTTGCTTGCTTGCTTGATGATAAAAGTTGAGATGAATGTGGAGATCCAAATGCTAATACAGGCAGTACCCTGGGTTATGAACTGCCAAGTTATGAACAACCAATACTTACCAACAAACTTCCATAAGGCCTATTATTTTTTAATTGCTTCCTTTCTTTCTATGATGAATATTTTCTGTAATAAGGGGAGAGAGGGAGGACTTCCAGAGCATCGCCACAGAGAGAGAGGAAGCAAAGTGGGGAGAGGAAAATCTCTCCAGCATTTCTTTGCTGCATAGAGGAGGCACTGGAGAGTTTGGGCTGGGGGGAGGGGCCTAGAGATATTGGTGGTTTTTCCACTTTCATGGAGTCCTGCACCACTAACTCCCATGAATGTGGAAGGCTGACTATATGTGATCCAGCCTCCATACAAATTTGATTTAAAGACAAATTTCAATTTTGTAACCCAGCGACTACTTATATTGAATATTTAATGTCATACATTTCAAACTCCGGTTATTCCCTAGAAGACTAAACTTTAGTTCTTGCAGAAAAGGTAACTCATGGTGATAGTATCCTCTAATCTCTGAAAAATATTTTTGAAATAGGTTAAAGAAGCCTTTGATGCAGTTGCTGCTGAGTTGGCAGAACACAAGCGTATTCTTGTCCAGTCTCAGCAAAAGGAAAAGCAATCAGCTAGTCTAATACAAGAGCTGACATCCATGGTAAAAGAACAAAAAGCAAAGATCACTGAAGTAGTCAAATCAAAGCAACAAACAACATACAACTTGAAAGTATGAATGTTTAGACTTCTTTGTTGTTATTTGTACACTGAAAGTTGTCTTCCTGCAGAAGAGGTTATGCTAGAGTTGTAACAGTAGAAAAATGTTTCATAGCATTGCAGCTTCAATTGTCATGGCTTATTTCATTGATGAAAGAATTTATTCTCAAATAGCATTATTCTGTGTGACTGATGAATAAAGTAGACAGCTCAGTTTGGCCTGAAATTTAGTGTTTATATAGAACAGCAAAGTCCTAGAAAACTAGAACACTTTTATTGCAATGCAGTAATTGGTCCCGGAGACCTGCTTTAGTATCCCTCTCATGCATGATTCAGATCTAATGGGAAGCCATGGTCAATGATAGATGGATGATGTGACTACATGTATTAGAAAGGGTGGGATAGGGTGGTGATTGTATTGAGAGGCATTTCCTGCTCTTAGGTGGGCAACAAAGTGTCTTGGGTTGGCCATGTGTGAAAGGGAAAGCTTCCAATGTATATTTGTGGTTGCAAATGAGAAGATGTGAGGGAGAGCTCACAAGCTTTCAGGTTTTTGTGGCTCATTCACATAATGGGAAACCACGGAATTCACAAGGCATTTGAACCAGATACTCTGTTTTACTGCAATTCTGTACTTCTGGAATTTTTTTATACCAGATGACAGCAACCAAAGATTTGGCTGATTATGATCAATCAGTATGTGAATTCTAGTCTTCCATGCCTCTGAAACATCTGGGAATACTCACGTGTCCTGTCTGCTTTTCTTTCTTGCTTGCTTTTTTTCCTTTGTGTTGTTCTAAGGAGGAGGATTCTTTCTCCTGCATTCTGCTAGACCACTCTCTTCTGACCCTTCTTTATCTCCCCATAGTGCTGTCTTTGGCATTTTGCATTATTGGTTTAGATCACTGTCTGGACCATTCTGATTGTTCTGTTAAGATGGAGGAGCTCTGCCAAAAGCTCCAAGAACCAATCTTGCCCCATTGTTACTTTGGACTAATTTCAGCAAACTCTAACAGAGATTCCATAGCCAACAACAGACAGTCCTATAACATACTACAGTGTAATTGTAAAATATCATGTATGATGCTGAGGCTTATTTAAATGTATCTTTTGTGCTTTTTGTAAAGAGTCAGATCCGAACACTTGAAAATATGATGGAAGAAGACAAACAGAAGACTATTCAACTTGCACTTCTTAAAGAGGAAAAATCAAAACTTATTTCACAGATAACAGCCCAGGAGTCCGTCATTGATGGATTAAAAGCAGAAAGGAAAATATGGGGACAGGAGCTGGCACAACAGGGTAAACTGCAAACCTATTTTGGTTCTGGTAGGATGCAGTCAAAGAACATATAAAACCATAAATTTCAGGTTTAAGTCTTTGTAAGATTGCAAAGCATCTACTTTTCAGTTGTGGAATGACGGACCATACTGGCAGCAAGCCTTGTATTTGCACAGCTTGCATTTATTTTAGGAGCACTTCCCACTGGATTGTAGTTTGTTTGGCAATACTTGACACAGTTAGAAGCATGCATGCCCAGTTCAGCATATCCATATTAATTGTGGGATAGCTCACATGCATGGTTGTTTTTGTTTAATTTCTGATAGGGCCCATCCAGGAATGCCATAAGTTTCAAGTGTAAAAGCCAAGAACATAATTGTTTGGAAATTAATTCCTTTTAGATTGGTGAACCTGGAAGACCTCTCCTAAAAAGATACAAAGAACAGTTAGTGTAATGAAATGCCTAATGAAACATTATAATATTCAGGATAATGAAACATCTGCTAGACTTTGGTCTGCTCATACGAGAGCAAAACATAGTAGTGGAGCAGTTTATGTGAACAGAAGGTCCAAAGGTTTATTGATCAGCTGAAACTCAATTTCACTGTCAAAGATCAGATATAACAAGTTAGGATATTTGTTAAGGCTTGATTAGCTGTTGAATACAGTGTTGGTTGTTATTCTTTGTTTCCCTCATTTAGGTTTGCCCTGATCCTGAATATTTATATAGTGGATGTAACACTGTTGGGCACTTGTTTTGTTTTGGGATATTGTATCTTAAACAGAGATATGTCCATCTCTTTAACTACCTCCACAGGAACTGTCTGTCTGGCCACTGGTAGCTCCTGATGTGGGAATGGCTAAGTTGAGCTGATTCCAAGCATGAGGTCGCGCTTCACTGTCCCTCTCCACATGGTATAAGTGAGGCTCACGCTTCTAGAATGTTTAGGAAATGGAAAATAGAGTGCTGGCTTACAGTTTCCTTAACCTGAGAGACTAACTTCAGTATTTGATTCACTGAAAGTACTATATTTATTTTACGTTTCTTCTCTGTTCCTCCCTCTCCACCATCCAGGAGCTTCACTTGCTCAAGATCGAGGAAAATTAGAAGCCAGAATAGAAGTTCTAACTAGTGAAATTGAGGTTCTGAAAAAGCAAAATGAATGTAACAACGATGCATTGAAGATTAAGTCTAAAATTGTAGAAGATCAAACAGAGACCATTAGAAAGTTAAAAGAAGTAAGCAGTTCTTTTCTTACTGCTTTTCTGAATTAACAGGAAACCAAAGTATTCTTGTAATAATGCGTGGAATACATGATGTATGAATATGGCATAATTTTGTTCATAGCAATGTTCTCCATTGATGTTAGCCAGACATTGGCCATTACTCCCCCACCCACTTCTGCCAACACTCATGTTAATCAGGAGGAAAATTACACAAGCTTGATGGGAATAGTATCTGTGTTCAGAAAAGTGTTAATGGCTGATAACAGGGCAAATAAGGGGAGTCATGATAGAGGTGTTCAGAATTAGGCATGGTGTGGAGAAAGTGAATAGCAAGACATTTTTCTTTCTTATAATATTAGAGCCAGGGTTTGTCCCATGAAGCTGATTGATGAGAGATTCTTCACACACAAACTATTACATTTACTTGCATGAGATATAGTAATAGCCACTTCTTTGGAAAGCTTTAAAGAGGGATTGGACACATTCATGGAGAACAAGGCTAGCAATGACTACCATTCATGGTGGTTATGTGCTGCTTGCGGTTTGCCTATGTACCCCAGTTGCTGAAAAGCTTAGGCAGGAGGGTGCTGTTCATAGCCTGCTTGTAGGTTTCAAAGGGGAATCTAGTTGATCTCTGTATGAATAGAACACTGTAATATATGGACCTTGGTCTACCACTGACCAGAATTTAACCATGCATTTGGAATTGTTTGTGCAGATATTCTGTCACAGTTATGCATGTCACTTTTAGTTTATTATGTTAAAGAATTGTTCAGTCTTACAGTTCTGGCCTGAGTTTGTTATGCATTGAAATGGGAAAGATCGCTGCCCTTCCTTTCTATATTACCTAACATACAAATGACAGATATTGAAAACCCAAAATGCTGCTGTTGGCTTCTAAATCTTCCGAACAAGAGACTCTATGGGAATTTCTGGTTTTTGGCCTTTCAGTATCTGCCAACAGCTGGCTGGGTTTGTTGTTGTTGTTCAAGCTAAACCCCTTCACACTGGTAAGCTATTAATTACTGCATTCCATACAGAAGTCTGTAAATGTGTTGTACATTTCTGAATCATTGCTTGGCTCAGGTTTTGAACTACAAGTCACTTTCCTTTTTTCCTTTCTCATGTGTGTTTGCATGATAAACAGAACCACAATTTCATGACATGCTTTGCAGGTTTTGGGGAAATATTTTGCTTCTTTGGACAACTTACTTTTGAATGGGCACTAATCATTCCAACATTCTTTATTCCATTTTATAGAAGCATATTGCAGGTCTTGGATTGGGCAAATTTCTTTCTTGTATTGGTAGCTCAGTAGAGAGGTTGATCATCAAATCTGAGGACTTGACTCCTTCTTTGGAAGGAGGCTAGTGACACTGTGCCTTAGATGTGTTGAGGGCTACTTCAACACCTTTTTTTAAGGATTTTCAGTGACAGAAAAAATATTAAACATTTATTGCCATTATATCTGGCCACCTACTGAGGTAAGATTGCAGACTGCTTGCAAACATTTGCAGTTGTGTTGGAATTGGAATGCCCCCAAAAGTGAAAAAGTACACTTTCTGCAAAATGAGGTCTATAAAGCCAGGAAAATATTTTTAAAAATCAGTTTGTAAAGGAGATTTGTAGACCTGTGAGATCCTGAGCACCATTTTTATTTTATTTTTTTGGTGGAATGTAGGGCATAATTAAATACTGTTGACTGCTGATAATTGTGTTTGAGGACAAGAAAAGTGAGTTATTTGTCCATTATAGAAATTGTTAAAATATTGTCTTGGGATTCTCTGTACTATTTTGAAACAAAAATGGAAAGAAGAGGTTCTGAACTTAACATTTGCAGACTTGACAAGTAACTAATAACTTTCAATGTGTTGGTGAGATTGCTTTGACACTAATCAATTGCTTATGTGGAGCATTTTTCAGTTTTCTTAGTTATAACCAGTAATGGTTGAATTGTCAATGTGTTAAGTACTTAAGAATGTTAGCTGCACTCCAGAGTAAAAACAGTGATGAGGAAAACTTGTTTTTAAGGCCTTACAGGAACGAGATGAGCAAATAAGAAAGCGTCGTGAAGAAAGTACTGAAAATCAGAAGAGGCTTCAGGTACAACTGGAAGAAAAAGATACTCAGCTTGATGACTTAATGGAAAAGTTACAAAGGCAAAATGAAAGAAAAGAGGAGCTAAAACAACAGTTGCAAGAAAAAAATGCAGAGCTTGAAGATATCAAGAAATCCTATAGGTGCTTAAGACTGGTAGCATTTTCTGTACTTGTTGAAATGTTACTTACCATATTTAGACAAGATGGGAAAAGATAACATGGTTAGGATATATCACTACTTTTTATTTCTGATGCTTGAAAGCCATTTAGTAGAAAAACAGAATATACATTTAACAAATACATTAGAATGCTTTTTTCCCCTTGCTGTAGTGTGAAAACTCTCTGAAGCCTCTCTGAACATGTTGATTACATTTCAGTGCAATGAATAAAAAGTGGCAAGAGAAAGGAGGACTGTTGAGCAAACTGGAAGCACAAGTTAAGCAAATGAAAGAAAAATTTGATATCAAGGAGAAACAGCTGATTGAGGAGAGGGATAAAAGTCTTCAAGCTCAGAAGTAAGTAAATGTACTTGCTGTATTTGCATGTAACAAGAAGCCAGGATTTCTGTCTCACTGAACCACATTCTACCTCTGGGATGAGGAAACATGTGGACTTCCACATATTGTTGGACTGCTACTCACATCCAGTATAGCCAGTATAGCCAATAGTAGTTACAAATCCATAAAATCTGGAGGGCCACCCATTCCCCCCCTTGTTGCTACTCATTTCCTTCTTCCTTCTCATGGGGCAGTAAATAATCCAGGCAGGGATAGCTTAGTCCAAACCTGGGATTATGGTATGTTGTACCCTCACAAGCCAGGATTCATATACCAGCTTTAAAACAATTTAGTTGACTTTAAAATCCTGACTTGTTGGGCACAATATACCATAATCCCCAAGTTTTGAGATTATGCTAAGCTATTCCTGACTAGTTTGTTTGTCCACATGTAGCAAGAGAGAAGCAAATAGGTTGCCTGCACAGTAACTTGTTTCTACAGAAACACTTTTTCTCAATTAGGGTGTGTGTCAGGAGTTGAAGTGGAATGTCTTTACCAGATGGTGGCTGCAGGAAATATCCTTGCTTGCAGTGTCATGGGTGTATATTGGACTTGCATTTGTACAGAATGAACTGTTGTTAGAGCCTATGTTCTCTTTTTATAAATAACACAGTGGAAAATTCAAAATGGTTCTAGTAAAATTAAGCAGTTCTTTAGGAGAACTCCTTTATGAACTCTGAGAATTGTCATTTGGCATAAAAATGCCACTATTTATATAAAGCAATGTCCCATGTGGAAATTTAGTTCACTTCTGCAGTTGCTTTTATCTTTGGAAAAGTAGATAGGATTGGGAGCTGAGAATAGAGCTCATATTACGTTAAATGAACAAATGAAAGAGGAGTTTTTATGGTATTCACCTTTTTTCCTCTTGAAACTGTTTTCTTCACTCCTCTTAAATGCCTATACATAAGTAAACTCTTGGACTGTAAACTGAATGTAATGATCTAGAACAAAGTATTTCCTTACGGAGACTATTAGAGTAACTGGAGTAATAAGCGTTGCTAAGCAAATGCTAGTAGCATGATGTGTGGACCAGTTACTGGAATGTACCTTATTTCCTCTTGCAAGGAAGGTTCAAGACTTTTATCGTCAAACAACAACCCTGTGAGGTAGGTTAGGCTGACTGGCCCAAAGTCACCCTGTGATGACTAAACTAGAACCTGAATCTCTGCATCCCAGTCTGATACACTAACTACTATGTCACACTGGATTTCAATTTTTGACTATAGGCAAGAGTGTGAATGTATGATAGGTTCCATCTGGTGTTGTGCAATGGGGCTGCTCCTACACTCTCTCTAGACCTGGGCCAGGAATCCCCCATCCTTTAAGCTATTTGTAGAGAACAAAAGGGTCTGCAACAGATCTGTCCTGCTAATGTCCATCCAACAGAATGAATGCAGTTGGATTTTTTCTAGTATGCTTATCACAGTAATGCTAATCTAACACTACAGTGTTATCACAAAACTGAGGGGCTTGTCCTGTGTTTAGGGCTATGATGGAAAAGCTGCATTATATGGATGATGCTTTTCGAAGACAACTTGAATCAACACTAGCAGCACATCAAGCAGAATTACTACAGCTAGCAAATGAAAAGCAAAAAGAAATTGTGGCAGCAAATGAAAAGGTGATATATGGTGCTTGTTCATATGTTAAACGAATCTGCTAGTATGTTTGTGTGCCAGCTACTTGCAAATTCAAACATCACTAATTAAATACCTTAGAACAGTGGTGGCAAACCTATGGCACACGTGCTTAGAATGTGTTTAGAATGGGCAGAAATGTTGAGCTGTGCAGAAACAGCTACTCAAGGAAGGCTTTTTCAAAATCGCCCTCTTTCCAGTGGATCTTTCACACTCTATTGGTGTTAGGGATGTGCACCAGGGTAGGGTTAGGGCAGTGGTGGTGAACCAATGGCAGGCATGCCACAGCAGCTTCACAGAGCCCTCTTTGTCAGCACATAGGCCAAATCACCCCAGCAGCCGAGCTTCGGATAATAGCGCACATAGGGGCCATGTGCATGCTCGGAAAGGAGTAGCGGCACCAGGCGATGCCCTCATGAGCCGCAACTCATTAGCCGCGACTCGTCCAAGCTTTCGCATGGCCAGTCAGTGCGCTACCAAGGATATTTGCTCGGACTGGCTGTGAGTTGTTTTTTCTAAACTAAAACCTCAGTTTTCAGGTTTGATTGCAGTGTTGGCACTTTGTGATAACTAAGTGGGTTTTGGATTGCAGTTTGGGCACTCGGTCTCTAAAAGGTTCACCATCACTGCATTAGAAGAATGAACTGTGAGTGTTGAACGTGGAGACCTCCCTTATGTATGGTTGTGTCCAAAAAGGAGTACACAAAGCCAGTGCTTCTGGCATTTCCACCTGCTACTATTCATTGCCAGGCTGGAATCAAGGGGTTATGTTTATCTTGCAGATGTTTTACACTATCCTGTAGATTGTGTACTTTCTGGCTACCCTGGATAGTGCTCACATCGTTGGTTGGGAATGTCTCATTAATAATACATTTTTGCCCCACGATAGATTCAAAGGTTCTCAGTAAAAGTCTCAAAGCTGGAAGCACTGATTCTTCAAAAAAGCCTGCCAGAGGCCAGTTTTACTGGTAGTTTTTCACTAGGAAGCACTGTTGGAGATTTGAGTAAACAAATTCATTTCTGAACTATCCTAATGTTCTTTCTTTTTTTAAAAAAAAATCTGCCTGTAAGTGGTGTTGTTTGAAAACTATTTAAGGCATTGCTTATTTTGTTGTTGTTAGAAATTTTTTAAAGATCAATGTAACCAATTTTTAAATATAGTAATAGGCTTTGTTTGGTGACAGATACTACCTTTTCAATATAGTCTCTAGAAAGTATACAGTTGGGAAGACCTACTAAACTTCAGTGCCTTCACATCTATAAGCTTTTCAAGCATTGCTTAATATTCCATATCACGCTCAGATGAAATGTTGCAAATTCATAATGTAGGAAAAAGTTGGGAAAATACTAGTACTAAATCTTTAATTGAACAAATAGCTTGCAAGTTCAGAAGGTGCTACCTGTAACAGACATAATGCTAAATTTTCATTCAGGTTTACCAAGTGGAAGAAGAAATGCGTCAACTACTACAAGAAACTGCAAGCAATAAAAAGGCAATGGAAGAGAAAATTAAACGACTTACAGTTGCTTTGAGTGACATTCAGCAGGAACTCTGAAATACATGATACCTGGCACTTTTAGGGCCTTACTAAATTCAGGAAAACAGTAAGCTATTTAATGCCTGCAACCAGAGAAAATTCCACTAGAAAAATGCTGCATATGGGGCACTTCTATTTGCACTTTATGTACAATATTTTCAAAATAAATAGCGTTCATTGTACTGTCTATCATTATGGCAATTACTGAGATTTTAAAGACAAAGAGCAGAATCCAGTGGGGCACTAACATCTCCAGCGATTCTCATATGCCATGTCAATTCCATTGTCTCTGTTGGGCCTCATTGCTTATATCCTGGTGACTTAACACTTCTCAGACAACCCTAAACAAATGGAGAACCTCATTTCTTGAAGGAGGCAGGTTAGTGGAGCTTGCTTAAGTAAGCTCTGCCAATCAATACCCTTCCAGAAATAAGTGTTTCTGTTCACTTGAGGGCTCCACTAGGAAATGCTCAATCTTCCTTGTCTAAGCAAGGAGTCCTTGCTGAAGGTAATTGGTAGGTCAGAAAGGAACTGGCAGAGGCATTTTTTCTTTGTAGAAAAAATGTTCTACAAAGTGAAGTTCTGTGATTAAAACTGGAAGCTATGTAAGACCTTGAAGATGATTTAAAAGATTGGACTTTTCTTAAATTTGAATATGCTTAAAGTGATCTTGGTTCAGGCAGAACTAGGTTATTAACAACATTAAGGATGCAATGCTATACATGTGTACAGAAGAAAAAGGCCTATAATTCCCAGGATCAAACCAGCCAAGATTTGTAGGACTTTTTTGTCACAACATATATAGGTTTGCACCTAACTTACACATCTAGTTAAAGTTTGTAGCAGTTTAGTTTTAGTGACTTCCCTTCTTGCACAGGTTCAGCTCTGCTACTTTACATGTTACACTTTTATACAGGACTTCACAATTTCAAGAAAGATTTTGTACTTAACTTTTGAATATACATTTTAAAACCAATTGAGGTTACTGTAAAAGCTCAATCTATTCAGTTTTTAAGAGCATGCAGCAACATCTCTTTAGCCTTGTGAGTATTGGCCATATGTGGTGTATTAAGCTTTAAATACTTTTCTAGAGCAGCCCTCTCATCGCCTGGATAAGGCAAAAGAGAGCGTTATCCAACACCTTATAAAGTAATTCTGTTTGGCACCCTGGGAACTAAATTCTGATAGTGACCCTTAAGCCTCCCGCAAACCTAACCCAGATTGTTGTTGTTGTTAGTCGTGAAGTCATGTCCGACCCATCGCGACCCCATGGACAACACTCCTCCAGGCCTTCCTGTCCTCTACCATCTCCTGGCGTCCACCTAAGCTCACACCAACTGCCTCAGTGACTCCATCTAGCCACCTCATCCTCTGCCGTCCCCTTCTTCTTTTGCAATCTATTGTTCCCAGTATTAGACTCTTCTCCAGGGAGTCCTTCCTTCTCATTAGGTGGCCAAAGTATTTGAGTTTCATCTTCAGGATCTGGCCTTCTAAAGAGCAGTCAGGGTTGATCTCCTCTAGGATTGACCGGTTTGATCGCCTTGCTGTCCAAGGGACTCACAGGAGTCTCCGCTAGCACCACAATTCGAAGGCCTCAATTCTTCAGTGGTCAGCCTTCCTTATGGTCCAACTTTCACAGCCATACATTGCAACTGGGAAAACCATAGCCTTGACTATACGCACTTTTGTTGGCAGGGTGATGTCTCTGCTTTTTAGTATGCTATCTAGATTTGCCATAGCTTTCCTCCCCAGGAGCAAGCATCTTTTAATTTCTTGGCTGCAGTCCCCATCTGCGGTGATCTTGCAGCCCAGGAAAATAAAATCTGTCACTACCTCCATTTCTTCCCCATCTATTTGCCAGGAAGTGAGAGGACCGGATGCCATGATCTTAGTTTTCTTAATGTTGAGTTTCAAGCCAACTTTTGCACTCTCCTCCTTCACCCATATCAAGAGGCTCTTTAGTTCCTCTTCACTTTCTGCCATGAGAGTGGTATCATCTGCACATCTGAGGCTGTTGATATTTCTTTGGCAATCTTAATTCCAACTGGTGATTCATCTAGCCCCACCTTTCTCATGATTGCTCTGCATGTAAGTTAAATAGGCAGGGTGACAGTATACAGCCTTGCCGAACTCCTTTCTCAATTTTGAACCAATCAGTGGTTCCGTGCCCAGTCCTAACTGTTGCTTCTTGACCCGCATATAGGTTTGTCAAGAGACAAATAAGATGGTCTGGTACTGCCATCTCTTTAAGAACTTGCCACCATTTGTTGTGATCCACACAATCAAAGGCTTTGGCATAGTCAATGAAGCAGAAGTGGATGTTTTTCTGGAACTGCCTAGCTTTCTCCATGATCCAGTGTATGTTGGCAATTTGATCTCTAGTTCCTCTCCCTCTTCGAAATCCTGCCTGTACTTCTGGTAGTTCTCGGTCCACATACTGCTGGAGCCTAGCTTGTAGGATTTTGAGCATCACTTTGCTAGCATGTGAAATGAGTGCAATGGTGCGGCAGTTTGAACATTCTTTGGCATTGCTCTTCTTTGGGATGGGAATGTAAACTGACCTTTTCCAATCCTGTGGCCACTGTTGATTACAGATTACAGTTGTGCATTTCACCCTATGCACCTTTATTCGAAAGTAAACACTACCCTGCTGAAATGCGACCAAAGCTGGAGACCTACGCAAACTTTCTTCCTGAAAGGAAGTCTCGTAGAACTCAGCAGCGTTTATGTCTCAGCAGGGACGCACGTTGGACGCCCCACAAACGAGACTCGCTGGCAAAGGGAAAACCGAACCCGCTACCCCGACTCTGCTCAGGCTCCACCTCCTAACTACCCCCCGCCCCAGGTTCATTCCTGTCCCCTTCTGTCTGTTCCCTACACAAAACTTTGTCGCCCGGCAACTGCGTGGGTAGCGTCACTTCCTCTCCCCTCAAAGCGGCCGGTGGGCTGGCAGGCTGGAGATTCCTCCATTCACGGCCCAGCTGAGTTTCCCCGAGGCCGGGGGAGGGGAGGGGAGGGGAGGCACGCCGGGAGGACCACGTGGGGCCGCTGCCGCCGCCGCTACCGGGGAAACCCCACTGGCCGAGGGGTTGAGGGCTGGCGATGCAGCATGGCCGCGGCGGCGCTGGCGGGGTCGGCTTCCAGTAGCGGCGGCGGCGGCCTGGAAGGCTCGGGGGGCGCAAGCGGCGGCGGCAGCAGCCGGCACGAGAAGAGCCTGGGGCTCCTCACTACCAAGTTCGTGACGCTGCTGCAGGAGGCCAAGGACGGCGTGCTCGACCTGAAGGCGGTGAGTTGCGGGGTGCGCGTGTGGGGCGGGACGACTGCTTTGCGAGGAACGTCTCCTGGTCTTTATTTACTAGTTTATACTGAAAGAGAACTTGCATCGGAGAAGATGCGCCTTACGGTCTGAGAAGTCCCGTGCCCCGGGCTTAGAAAAAAATGAAGAGGGTTAAAAAATAAGTTTCCTTTCTCAGGATTTTAAGGTTATGGTCCAATTTTCATTTTTCCATTAAACTCAGTGGGACTTATGAGAATGCAGAGGTTTATGCGGTAAGGCACTGTTTTACCTTCACAACAACCCTGTGAGGTAAGGTTAGGTAGAGGGGTCGGCGATTCCTATGCACGCTTGGACAATAAAGTCCTACCACTTCTAACTGTCCTCAGCTAGCATGGCTGACTGGGGGATATTAGGAATTGTGGGTCTTTTTCTGTCTAAACATGCATAGGATTACACCTTTTGCTGCTTCAAAATGCATGAATGCTAATTTTAATACACTTTTCTGTTGCATTGCTATGCCTCCCCCTTTTCTCCAGGGGCAGGGGCCCCCAATTTCCCTGCCCCCCCCCCCGTAAATGCTGCTTAATTCACTAATGCCTTTTCTCTCCATTCCCTCCCTTAGAGATTCTTGTAGAGTTCTGTACTTACACATGGCTCTAGTCCTGGAATTGAATATGGATTGACACTGTTTTATGCTTGTTGAACTAGGGCAAACTACCATTTATCACCATTTAATCTGTAAAAGCAGAATGATAGTCTGTTTCCAAAACTGTGATGTGGATGTGCAAGGTAAAGACTGGAAAAGGCCACTATGAGACTGTTAAGAATCTCTGGCTGATCTAAGTTGCAATTAGTTGTCCGTTTCCTGGAAATCCTGTAATTGGAAACATTGCCCAAATTATGCAGATTTATAATCAGTCTCTCAGAGTGCAGTGGGTCTGTTTCCAAATACATCTAGAATCATTCTCTTATAATACTCTTTTTAGTATAGAAGATTGATCCTGTGATCTTGTGCTAAGAAATGTGGGGCATTTTTAGCAGACTTCTAGTTGACACTTGCACTCATCTTGGGTACATCTCTGATTACATGTCACTTGACCAGCTAAAATCCTTGTTCTGCCCCCAACATTAGAGAATGTATGATGTGAGTGCATCTCATATGAGCCCATTGGTTGGATCCAGCCTTAGTTAAATTTGGATCTCATTGAAATCAGAGACAGTGTGCCTGTGTGTACCAGTTGCCAGGGAAGTTGGGCAGGAGGGTGCTTGTGCGCTTATCCTGGTTGTGGGAGCCTGTGGACAGCTGACTGGCTACTGTATGAGCAGAATGCTGTGTTAGATGGACCACTGGTCTGATCCAGCATAGCTCTTAGGTTCTTATGTGACAGGTCATTTTACTCATGACTCATTAATTTCAGTGTGAACCAAGTTCAGATAATAGTCTCTATGTAAGCTAATGTGCATAAGATCACTTCCCTCATGCCCTTTTTCTAAAGGGAAATCTCATGTATGGACCTACATGTGGACTGGTTATATCACATTTTACACCAACATCCCAGGACCTTTTTCGATAATGTGCAAGTAAGCACATGCTGCCTGCAACAACCCTGCTTAACAGCTCCTTTGTAGGTTGTGCTGCATGACAAGTGCACCCAAGCTGCAGGGCTGAAAAGCACCCACCATTCTGGGTTTGTGACAGACAATTCAGTCATGGACTGTGAAGAGGTGGCACACTACAGTCAGTGCATCTGAAGAACTCATCAGTTTTTAAACCATTTGCTTAACACTATGTGCAAACCACATCATTAAGATTGCATTTTATTTCATTATAAATGCATGTGTGTATGTAACAATGTCCTGGTGACTAGCATGCACTAGCTATTTGTGATAAATGTGACTTATTAATCTTTATTTTGCCTCCCAAACTTTCAGCCTTCCTTACTGCGTTCTGTTAGGAATGTATAGACGAGTATACTTAATGAGCTGCACTGTCCACATTTTGTTTTCAGCTGTGTGGGTTTAATGTTTGCATGTATTAAAGTGGCCTACACATAAATTATGTGTGTTTGTAAAGTAGGGGAGAAGGATATATGAGACTGTAGTAAAGAAGATAAACACTTGTTGGCAATCTTTTACTTCCTTTAACCGTCAGTTTCCACATTATATTTTCCTTGTGAGCAGGTCATTTTGCAAAATATGTGTTTTTTATAATACAGAAATGTGGCTGTACTAGTGTAATTTTTGAGTAGAGGGAAATGACTGCATCAAATAAATGAAGTTTACTTTTCTTAATATATATTTTGGGATAACACAAAATGTATTACTAGTAGGCACACCTATTTTAGAAAATATGCATGGAAGTGTGTTTAGGAAACAGTTGTTTGCTACACTATACTTCATTGCCTAGTGAATTTCTTCAGTCATAATATTTAACATTTAATATATCCAAACAATCTTTAGAACATATTTAGGAAATACTTTCTGTCAAGGACTTCATTTCCTAAGGGGTGTACTATGTTGAAGCAGCTACACAGAACTAGAGTCAAAAATGTGTGTAGAGCCACCCTTTCTTTCTCCCCCTTCTTCCTGGTCTAGTGCACTACTAGGGGAGGAGAACACTGGTCTTGCTAGTGGTCTGAACTGATTGTTCTCAGAAGGCTTTTAGAACAGAGGCTGCATATTAGGCCGAGCTGCTCATCTTCTGCGGCTGCAGGTTGGCCACTCCTGTTTGCTACTAGCATCACTTGTATTATCTGAAGTTTTCTGACAAACCCTGAAATGTTCCTAGTTGCCAATAAGCACATCTCTACAAAGGGTTGAGTGAATATCTGTGTTGTTACTGAACATGAGATGTTTATCTAACAGAGAGATCATTGAGATTTGTATGTTTTTTTCCCTAGAACTTCTAAAACTAGTACTTGAGTACAGATTGATTGATTAAAAAAGCCAGTACGTGCATACATTATGAAAAAACTCAGGTTTTACAACATAAATAAGTTACATCTTAGCCATTTTATCTGGTTTTTAGTTGCTAGAGCTAGGGTGCTATTGGACTAATGGAAAGTAGGGATTTTTATAGTTAAAATTATGTCTTTAGTTTTAAATTATTGATTTAAGTTTAAATTGGATGGTGACATATGCAGCAAGTAGCCCTGAATCTGTTTAGTGTAGACCAATTCAAAATAATAATTAATGTGGTGTACATTGCTGCACCTGTATGAATTTTGAACATACCTGAGGGATGAAGAAACTACTATTGAAAAGTGAATGAAAAGTGATTTTGTTTGCAAAGGGAGCAGGACAGGCCACCCATCCTTCTGTCCTTGGGTTAAGAACAACCAAACTGGTTCGGATAGAAGAAGCAAAGGATGTTTTTCACACTGAATAGCAAAACAATATAGTAGTGAAAACTGTCTTTTCTGGTGGGGAAAAAAATCAGGCAGCCTGATTCTTCAAGGGTTTACATTGGATCAGTGCCAGCACAAAAATTTGAGACTCAGAACTTAGGCTGCTAATCACGTTGGCTGATGCTTTCTGGTTGAAATTCACTATTCTTCTGTTGCTTTCAGCATTATGGTGGGTGCATTAAGAGTGTGTGGTAAAGCAACCCTGATTTCAACCATTTTTCTTTCTTTCTGCCTTATTATCTTTTTTTTGCTCATAATAAGGTCCATGATTTTCAGTCATTTGGTGATGTTCCTCTGCCAAAGTTATATCTTAGCCAGTTCTTTTTATATTTGTATGTATAGCAAGCTGCAGTAAACAGTGTAAAGAGGTTATCTTCTTTTCTACAGTAAATTTTCATTTTCTCTCTCCCGGCAGTGCTGATTCCATTGAAAAAATAAAATTAACAGATTATTCTTTTGCATCCTGCTCAAGACAGACATAGTATCTTTTCAACTCTCTGAACTTCCCCAGTTGACTCATTCATGGCTAACTCTGAAATGATGCATTCCCATAAGGGGAATCCTGTAGGCGTGTTTTGAGAAGGTCATTCATATAGGCATTTTGTTTCATATAGGTTTACTATCCCTGTCCCAGAAACAGCAAGGGTGGTCCAAGGCATCTAACTGCACATCCGCAGCCATGGCAGGTTAAGGACTTGCCCTTTTTGACTTGTGATTAATATTCCCTAGGAGGCTTGTACAGATTCAGTGAAGCTGTCTAATGAGCTCTCCACTTTTGCCTTTCATCTGCATGTTTTTTTATCTTGATTCTCTTATCAGGCTGCTGATACACTTGCTGTAAGACAAAAAAGGCGAATTTATGATATCACCAATGTTTTGGAAGGGATAGATCTTATTGAAAAAAAGTCAAAAAACAGCATCCAGTGGAAGTAAGAGAACCAGCTTTTAATATTTTTAATGCAAAAATCAAGAAGGCTAACACTATTTTTCTTAATGAGTATGAATTTCATTATTGTTAGATATGTTTGTATTAATGATATGTCAGGAATCACTAATCTCTTTTCTCTGCAGGTGCTATTCTCCAGACAGTGATTTGACAGATGTTGAAAGTATATTTTGCTATGAACACAAATCTTTTAGGAACAAAGGTAGAAAGCTGTCTTACACTGAATCAGACCATTAGTCCATCTAACTCAGTGTGGGGAGCATGGGGACCAAATCACCTTGAGACACCTTTCGTGGTGCCTATCGAGCTGTTCTACTCTTCCCATAAACAGATTTTCTTAGCAGTTGTGGATTTTTGTGCAATAGTTTTCTGTTTGTGCTAAAAACCATGTCCAAAGGAGTTGTTTCTTATTGGAATTTGGACCACACCTCTGCCTTGTATACAGTCTTAGGACAGTTTACTTGTCCTGTACAATTAGCCATGTCTCCCTTAGCATTCATTTTGTGGTGGTACCTAGAATAGTTTTTCAAGTGTGCCTAAGGCACAAAAGTGTTTTCTCCCTATAGCAGTGGCTCTCCAGGATTTCAGGTAGGAATCTTTCCTAGCCCGATCTGGAGAGGTTGGTAATTTAATTGGGGACTCTGCATGCAATGTATGTACTGTACCACTAGATGGCAGTCTGTGACCTGACCAGTGGTGGTCAAGTAACAGGCTTCACAGTTGTGGGGCACATGTCCAGAACATCACATGCAGAGCTAGATTATCTCTGTCACTTACAACATTTGAAAACATCCCCCTTTATAAGATGCATTGTTAATTTTTCTTTCATCATACATTAATTAACAATTGATACGATTTCTGGGGCCAGCTAAAATTATTTCAGGATTAAGCTTAACCCACAAGGGTGCCAGTTGGCTACCATATCTGTGTATATTCTGTTGTCAATTCAGCACCATTGTCTTGGGTGGGTCTGTCTGTCTTTTCGAACAAAGCTTAAGGGTATAGTGTAGAAATGGAGTATGTGCAAACTCAGGGCTTCAAGCCACAGTCCGTATGTGATAAGCCACATATAAAGTATTGAGACCACATGGCCCTTTGTATATGCTTAAGACCTAGAACACAAGGAAACTCTGTGAGTGTAACAGAGAATGTCTTGTTGATTTAACTTCTGCAGGCCCCAGCAAGTAAAAAATGTTTTGGAAAAACAAATGATGGGCTATCATTTGGGTCAGTGAGTTGCTTGGAGAGCCACATGACATTTCAAACAATTTTTCATAAGTTTGCATCTAAAAATAAACCATCAGTACCACTCAGAAAGCTTATATTGCTTTTGTCTCCTAGAATTGCCAGATGATCTGACCAGTTCTAAAATTGTTTGCCCATCAGTTTGTTTTTCTTAGTTTTACATCAGGTATAGCCAATAAGAGGATGAAATACACTGACTCTTACAAGGCATGTAGGTGTTGAAATATTCAACTAAAATATTTTTATTGAAATAAAAATGGTTGAAATATAAAATAATAAAGTTTTACAACTATGTAAATAGTACTGCTGTTACTATGAAATAAAGAGCTAGATGTGCGACACCTGTGAAAGAGGGTGTATATTTGATGTTTTACCAAAGTAGCAGAAGCAAAGAATAAATTGGTGGTGTTATGTCTACAAACTTTTCCATATAGAAACAAAGCATCATTCTCCCTTGATTCATGACACACTTTGTTTAAGGAAAATAAAAGTGTACATATAAACCCAAACATTATAGTGATAGTCAATTATTTTCATCAAGAAAAAAAGTATCAAATATGTTAATATGATAATAAAATGACCATTTAAAAGATGCCCAAACTCCTGCTACTGAGATATGTTTAATATTTTGTCTGTATGCTTCCCCCTTTATATAACATTGTTATTCTTTTTTAAGAGGTGTAGGTGCTGGTTGTAATACAAAGGAGGTTGTAGATAGATTGCGATACCTTGAAGCAGAAATTGAAGATCTAGAACTAAAAGAAAAAGAACTGGATCAGCAGAAATTATGGTTGCAGCAAAGCATAAAAAATGTTAAAGAAGATTCCATAAATAAGCAATATCCTTTGAAACATAGAGCTGTGTTCACATGACATGCAGCCCCATGTGGTTACCATGATGTGCCAGTTTTTACTGTGATCTACCTGAGAGTCAAGTGGTTTCTGGTTTTCACGGTTTCCTTCCTCCCCAGTTGGTCTTCCCACTGTTGGCATGTATTCCATCATCGCAGTGTGCCTGAAATTTAATCCAAAAGTACACCTGTATCTTCATTGGTCCACACATAGAGACTGGAAAGCTGCATTTGCCACTCTTTCCAGAGTGGTAGTTGCTTACTGTGGAAACCATGGTCCTGGTTCAGACACCAAAACATACCATGATAGTGCAGAGAAACCACAGAACTGGTGTTTCTTATTGTGGTTTCCTAAACACCAAACATACCATGGTAAAATACCATAACTGGGTTCAGACAATACAACAGTCCAACAGTGGTTAAAAACTACCATGGTTTATTGTGTTGTTTAAAGTCAGCCTATGTGTAATTCTTGAGAATGGAATGGAATTGTTGCAAAACAAGGCGCACAGTGGCCAGAAACATAGTGACAGGCCATTTTTCAATTGGTATTTGTATTTTGCTAACAACTGATAGTAGTTTACATGTGGCTATCGGAAGTAAGTAGAAATGACAAGAATTGCCCAGTGGCATAAAAGGGAAGTGAATCACAGGTGCAGATGTAGGACAGCAGACAAGTCCAGACAAGGGCAAACTTCCATTAGGAGCTTATCTATAATTGCTGTTCCAATCCTGGGCATATTTAAATTGTATTGATTGTTTTCACTCCCACCCACTGCATATCACTGGGTCATATCATATCTATATCAGGTCATATTCAGAAGCTCCACAACTTTCAGATGCAACTTCTGGAGTAGTATAGTGGATTGTATTGAATATGGGAGACAATTAAAGATAAGGGCCTCTGACTATCAAACGCAGACGTATTTTCTGCTTATATAATATCTTCTTAACTTGAGGCTTATTGCCAAGAAAGGATGAATAGATCATAGCCTTAGTTGGATTTCATCAAAAGCAGCTATAACATGGGAGGAGATGCTCTTACTATTTTTAACTGTACAATCTCAGGCACTACTTTGGTATATGCTAGAAAAAATATCCAAAAGAAATAATCTAAACAAAAAGTAATTGAAAAAGTTACTAACGTCATGTCATTTATCAGTTTATTTTGAAAAATTCCTTGACACAGGCCACTTTTTCATACATCACTCATGAAGACATTTGTGACTGTTTTAATGGTAAGTAGATGAAAATTTTGATCTGTTTGTAAATAGTAACAAGTGGTGTTATCCTGTGGGTCATGTAGTCTTCCAGATGTGGTGGACTGCAAATCTCAGCATTCCCCATCATCATAGTCACTGATTAAAAATTATGTGTGAACTTGCTTGCTTTCTTACTATTTTTCCAGGAGCAACTTGGATATTCTGAGAACTGTCTGAGTCAAAGAAATTGTCAGGAATCCCTTAGCAGAGGACCAATTTGTCCCACTCAAAATGGATCATATTGAAACCTTTATGTAGGAGAACCAGACTTATGGTACATTTCTATTCAGTGAGACTTACTCCCAGGTAAGTGTGTCCTAAACACACTTCCCAGGAAGTAAGCTGTATGGAGCATTGTAAGAATTATCTGAATAAACATGCTGAGGAGAAGAATGCAGCAGTAGGTTGGGGCAGGAAAGGGAATTACATCTGGTTGAACACAGAAGTGAAATGGCCAATTTAGGATCAAGGTGGGCTTTCTTCTAATTCCTGTATTTTTGCATTATAACAGCCTTCCCAAACCTGATGCCCATAGGCGGACTGCAGCTCCCATTGTTGCCAGCCAGCGTGCCTAATGTAATGAAAGATCATAGGGATTGTAGTTCAACGGATTTGGAAGGTGCCAAGTTGGGAAGGCTGGAGTCAGAAATGTTGACTGTAGCCATACAATTTTTTCTCCTTGGGTTTAATAGATCTTGTGCACCAAGTACATGAAAATGCAGGGGGTATCAAGCTGATGATGGAAATATATGCCACATTGATTGTATGTGATCCAGGAATGTGTATGAATGTATTCCGTGAACATTTGACAATTGCTCTTTAATCAGGGGATACACTGCTAGCAATTCAGGCACCTTCTGGTACACAATTAGAAGTTCCTCTACCTCACTTGGTATGTATAGAACAGCTGTTTTAATCTGATTGATTAGCCTGAAGTAGTGTCTGTGTTCTAATTTTGGGGGTGAGAATTGGAATATTTGTTTTAGTAACAGAAAAATGCATCTCTAGTTCCTTTTGTACATTTCAGTTTTTTATGTTGCTTAAAAATTGGAGTAGAAAGTTAATGTAGCATTTTTTACTTCAGGGCATAATCCTATGCATATTTAGAACAAAAGCCTGCAAATCCCAGCATTTCCTAGCCAACCATGTAGGACTACATTCTCTAAAAGTGGAATCCTGTGCATGTTTATATAAAAGAAAAAAGCCTACCACCCCCAGCATGTCTCAGCCAGTACGTACACGATTGTACCTAGCTGGTGCATGCTTGGAGTAATAAGCCTTTTTCTGTTAAACATGCATAGGATTGTATTCTGACTCTTCTTTCAATCAGTGTCACATATTTTGGAACTAAATTTAGAAGTGAGAAGAATAATATTCTATTTCTTAAACACCTTTTCATGTCTTCCCTCTTCTCTCAGGTAACAGAAATTCACCAATGTATACAGAATTTCTGTTTTCCTCTCTTTCTACACCCTGTTCTCTCTAGGACATTATAGCTGCAAACAGAGAGGAACACTATTTCTCATGCAGTTTTCTTTCAATTACACATTTTTGCCCCTCTAAGAACTTTCAAAACTCAAAAGAGGAAAAACAGAACTGGAGGATCAGATCGTCTGATAATTGCCACTATGCCACACTTGCTCTCGTTCATAACTGCTGAGTAATTGTACTGAGACAGCCGAATTGTTATTTGTTGAAACAGAATGAGAGGAGTAGTGTAGAGTAGGATCAAGCTGCGATATAACTACTATCATGAGATATATTGAATATTGTATTAAGAATGTTTTTATGTTATTGTTAGACACTGGAATCCTAAACATGAGTAATTTTGTGTGCATGGGCATTTCCATCATCTATGGATGATAAGAATCCATCATCTTATGATGATATTGAACATATGATACCGTGATGTTTTTTTTATTTGAGGAGGGAGGGGTTAGGCTTTTGTGCCTTTGTCTATATGTGTTAACAGTGACTCTATACATTGACAATAATAGATTTATGTCAGTCTCATTTGAAAAAAGTCAAATGATCCGCTCCAGAGGAAAACTTGTCACTAGATACTCTGTTGGTGAAATACATAAATTTCACCTACACTTTTGAATGTGATATTATTTGGCTTAACTGCTACTGCTATTTCCAAAGAAGAATGTTTACTTTTAACTTCTTGCCTTTCCAAAGGGACAAAAGAAATACCAGATCAATTTGAAGAGTAATTCAGGGCCTATCCATGTGCTGCTCATTAATAAAGAGTCCAGTAGCTCTATGCCAGTGGTTTTTCCAGTACCACCTCCAGATGACCTCCTGCAACTTCCAGCTCAGTCTGCAGCTCCATTGACTTCTCCTAAATCAAGTGCAGAGCCTCAGAAGTTACAAGAGTCTAGTGACCCTAATAAGGGACATTCACTTTCGCAGACACCTGTCCCAGATATGTCAACAAGTAAGTGCTGAAACTCTCTGTACAAGAATTACAGGACTAGTGAACATCAGCATTCAACAGTTGGATTTTCTCAAACTTGGAGTGAGCTTGACTGTGTCCATCATTATTTAGAGCCATTCTGTGCTGTGATTCAGCAACATTTCTAAGTATAGCTTAGTAATTAGAAATGTCATATGCTGAAACTGCATTGTACTCAGGACCTAACAATGAACTCTGATGCTATTACAGTGCAGTTTTATTTTGCAGTGGTATCTAAAAGTCTGTTTAGCTGTTTACCAAACCTAATACTACTATAATTACAGTGACTTTCCTTTTCACAGATATAGCTATTCCTTTTTGCTAGCTATTGTGCAAATAAAAAAATGTACCTATATCACATAGGTTATGTGCTTAGGGCCCTAACAATGTCCTGGGTAGAGATATACTTTTGCGGGACAGTTGCTTGGTTCTGACTGTTGTATCTTGGCTTATTAAACCTTCACTCTTGCGGCATAAACATATACAACCCCTTTGTTCCTGCTTTTGCACAAGCCACAGTTAAATTGGAAAGTTCATTTACCATAGTCTTCTGTTTTGTCCAAACTGCTATTTCAATTTAGTTTAGGATCTGGGCTTTTTGTAAAGTGCATCTATAGTTCCCCAGTTTGGAAGAAATAAGAAACTGATTAATTAGAAACTTCCTGGTTTGACTGCTGCACACTGCAATGCGAGCAGTGCTGGAACTGTGTGCAGACAAAAGGCTTCTATGAATTTCGTTGAATGCTGAGATATGATTGTTTGAATGAGGCCAGTGCCTCTGTGTGACAGAATTAAATCTAGCAACATAATCCAATATCACTCGCGTTACCGGTGTTTGAAAACAAATTGCATTTTAAAATTGACCTAAGTTATCTGTGTACTGGTTATCCCTAGACTGAACTACTGCAATGTGCTTTCCATAGCTAATGCTAATGCAGCATTGCTTATATTTTTCTGACCGTCTTAATTGTAGGTCAGAATTATGGTAAAAGAGAGTTCATCTTGTATCAGTTTATGCCTATTGCAATGAACTAGCATGCCATTTCTAACTTTAACTTTTCTTCTATTATAGACATTAGTTTACAGGAAAGTCCAACTCCAGGAAGGCTTTATGCCAGCGTTCCAGATGCTGAGCTGTATGATAGTCTTGTAGCAGAAACCACACCTAGTACAAATACCTGCCAGCCCTTCCTTCCACTGGATGTTAATAGTATTCTCAAGCCAAACACATTTGACATAGCAAAGATGGATGAGCCTGGAGGTAAAATATAGATGTACATATGTAAAAATATGCTAACTTTGAGAGAGGTGGGAAAGTAATCACCAGAGTCCCAATATCAAAAATAGGAAAGAAAATAACCCAGTACTGCTGCTTGTTGGAAATGCTTAGCTGCTAGATTTCTCTTTTATGGTCTTAACCTTGGCTAGAAATATAGGGGGCTTTTTCCTGTAGCACATGAATGCAGTGCTGAGTCAAATGTTCAAGCACTTTTAAGCATAATTACACAGAAGGATAACCAAGAGATTTGATGACTCAAAGGGCCATTTTCACTGGCAATTTGAGAACACACTTCCTCTTGTAAAACTAAAGTCTAATTTGTAGTTGCCATCCATTGAAAAGCCATCAAGAAGGTACTCTGTGGACCGTGAGCCACATGACAGTTTCTGCTTGGAAGTGAATGAGTCCTTATCTGTGAACAGCACATCCATGTGTAAGTTCAAGCCTCACTTCTGCCGCAAGGTTACTTGTTGACCGTAAGCAAACAGTCTCCAAAGATTAGCTGCATCCCTCTTCTCCATTGTCATATATCTGGAAAGGCTTCGTACTACTGACATATAAAGTGCTACTTAACTGCTAAGTATTTTATTATGAAAATAGTCTACATTGGTACTTTATTATCTCCCAACTGTCCTTTCTGCTGTAATAAGCCATAGGCCTGTGAATTCACTCTGTACTCTTCATAACTGAGCTGCAGTCTGTTTTGTACCCATGTCTTTTTACTGTGAGAACACAATATCAGGATCTCTTTTATGTCCATTTAACCACACAGAATGGATGTTTACATAGAATATTGGATGTTTAAAAAAATCTTTCTCAAGCCTTAAATACCTAGCTTACTTCACAAACTGCAAAAGCCAATTAGAAATCTGACAGCCTTTTATACTGTTGCCAAATTTTTACTTATGCAAATAGACATGAATGTACTTTTTTGTTCATAGGCATAATTAACAGTGATATTATTGATGAACTGATGTCTTCTGATGGTAAGTTTTATTTTCATTATCTTTTTGTACAGTAAATGTTACAATTACAAGTCTAGTTCACAGTACCCCTTCCCACTACTAGTTTGGGTGAACATAACACTTGAAGCAAACAGATCTTTTGATTTAACCTGTTTGTTTGGGAAGAGGTAGTTATTACCAGTTATTGCTGCTCACTACATTTAGTAAGGCAGTGAGTTCTCTCCTAAGTTTAGTGATCTGACCCTTTGAATGTATTCATTAAAAACAATGCCAGGGTGCTGCTGGCTACAAATGATATGCGAATGCAAAGTCACACCATTAAATTATATTTTTCTTTAATTTGTGTAAATATCAAACAAATAGTATAGAAATGGAAGACTGATCTTTACTTTTAAAATACCATGTGTATGCTAATAGAATCCAAACTACTTTTTATACTGTAGTTCCTACTTTCTTGTAAACCTGCAGAATGCAGTGTGTAATCCTTTGCATATTTACCCAGAACCAAGTCCTACTGTTGTAGGTGGGGCTTGTACATATGCATGGGATTCTGGACTGTGTTGCTGCCCCATTACTCTGGCTAGTTCTAACTTTTTGTTCTGTCTGAAGAAGCATCCCTATATTTTACTTAGAATGCTTCTTTTGGCAGAAAGTGGGGAGTAAGTAATTTTTGCAATTTCCCTTCCCTTGGCAAATCCCAGAAGCATTTTTCTCATTGTTCTGGAGGGTCTCCCAACCCCTAAAGCAGAAGCATGGAAGACACAGAGGACTGTATGAGAGGGAGGTGGAACTGCTGAAGATCTTTTCTGCCTCATCCATTTTGCAGCAGAAAAGCTTCTCTGAATCAGAACTATCCAGCTGATGGAGTCTCCCTGTAGATTTTGCTGCATCCAATTTTGTTACTCAAGTGGCATGATGACGTGTGCTATGTACAACCCCCCCCCTTACATTATTACAAAATCAAGCCATCTGAATTACATATGGAAGCAGAAACTATTGGCTTACCTATAGCTCCTTGAAAGACTGCAGTGAACTCAACTTCACACAATACCCTGTCGGGGCTAGCTGCCCATAATGAATTGTCATGTTGTGTAATCCAGGTTATTCTGTCCATCCCAAACTTCATTTTTTCCATGAGTTTCTTTCAAACATATTCCCTGCACATTGATACTAGCAAGTTGTTTGTGATTGCTAGTAACCAATGAATGGGTTTTGTAATTAGATCTAAATAAGAAATTGCTCCCAAAGCTCAAGTATAGAGGAAACATTCAATTCCTGCTGTTATAATAACCCCTTATCAATGGAATTGAAGCTTTATCCCATTTAAAGCAAACAAATACAGCAACTGATTAATTTGTAAATGTCATCTTACATTCATTTACATGCCAGCAACAATCTCACAATCTGTCATTTACAGTGGAGTTTACATTACTTTTAAAATTGTGATTTCAGTTTAGAAATGTATCTACTGTTACTGCTGTGTTTAAGTCCATCTGTTTGTCCAGAAAAGTATTGGCCTTCTATAGCTGCATAGTCACAATATAGGTGGCAACATTCTAACAATTTTTTGAGCAATTTCTCAGTAGCCTGAACCTGTGTTGTGTGGTTTCCTGATTCCAGTTGTTTTTTTCCAAGATTGTACAAGCATAGAAACTGATTCTGACATTTTAAGCTACCCCTTCTACACTGCACCTGTAGAAAAAGAACATTAAATATTTTAATGCTTAGAATTAAATATATTCAACTTACGGATGCAAATTTTAGTCATAAGGCTCAAAGCTTACTTCATGGTGCAGAATCCCCATGTTCTTATTTCTGTGTTTTGGCCTGGACATATTAAAAGAGTTTGCCCTGTCTTGAACAAACTGAAATGCTTAAGAGGCCAGTGTGTGGCATCACACAGTGCAGAGTCTCATGGTGGTAATAATATGTAACTTGAATCTTATCTTGTATCACAGAGGTGTGTAAATTCGAGTTCTTTATTCAGGTTACCTATGCACAAATAGAACTGAAAAAAGAGCCAGGAACCACTTCATCCTCATTCTTTCACATGTGTTTTTTTTTAGTTATTCATTAAATCCCATCACAGATAAGGTAGGCAGTCATTTTGATATGCCTGTTCTAAGGGCCACAGAAGGGAATGAAGTTGTACTGCAAATAATTTATTTGCCTTGGTAATCTATCACAGGCTCATCAGCATTCATGGACTCTTGTGCTTTTAAGAGAAACAATGGTTCTTGAGTTACATCTATCTCCCACCAATCCATCATTCTTCCGACAAAACAACCACAACTAAAATAAATTCCTAATTGCCATCTGTAGTGGCCAGTTCAGCACTTAGGGGTCATGATTTTCCATAGCCTTATTTCCAGACGTTTATATATCAAAACAATCCCCTTGAAACTGGAAAGGGATGCTGGATGAATGTAGCAGCAACGGTGCAGATACCAGGAGAGAAAGGGAATAATTTAACTATACTTAGCTGGCTGTATAACTGCATGACATCAATTTTGCCTAAGTGAAGTTTTTTTTTATCCCCCCCCCCCCAGTTTTTCCCCTCTTACGGCTATCTCCTACTCCTGGAGATGACTACAACTTCAACCTGGACGATAATGAAGGAGTCTGTGATCTTTTTGATGTGCAGATACTGAACTACTAGATTCGATGCAGCCAGATTGCCTCATCTACCTCTAACTATATAATATTGTAGACTTAATTTCATAATGCAAGTATTTAAAATAATGAATGTAAAACTTTTGTAATTCACCAGTTCAGGTGTACATTTTCATCTTAGTTTGTTATTGCTAGCAGCTTCTAAACTCAGTTAAGCAGAAGTGCCCTTTTAATCTAATGCAAGGGGTGTACTCTAAGGACCCACCTCTTTCCACTTGTACTTTGGAAGTAAACTTTTAAAATTATCCCACCTTCACTTCCAGTAAAACTATTCAAATGGTCTATTCATTTTATTCAAATCTGGCCCCTATGGGAACCTTCTGTACTCGTTCTAATATTTTGGCCTTATGTCTAAAACTTCTACTGCCAATTGTAAATGAAGAGCATTGACTAGGTTATGTTCTATTTTTTTCAGTGAACACAGAATATATTTTTGTGGAGTGCCTTCTTTATTAGCACTTTAAGTTCCTTTTTTTACTTCCAACATTCCATGTTCCTAGATGTAGGAAAGCACTATTTGTAGTTTGTATTACCGGGTCAATGCTTGTACATTAACAAGATTTTTAAAAAATAAATCTTTACAAGGAGTTGCTGTGTTGATATTATAATTGAGACAGTAACTTAGCAGCAGCATCCACGTTAGCTGGTTCAACTTCAAGAGCCTTGGGAAGCTGAAGGGAAAACACACACACTTTCAAATGCTGTCATGTGCTAAACATCTCCAGCAAGCATATATGTGTTTCAGAAACAGTTTTGTTCTTCAAAACACTTCTTACATTTATTTGAATAATGAAGCCTAAATGCACTATACTTAAAGCAGTTCCTCATTTACTTAGTAAGAGTTCAAGATATGAGATATCAACTTAAAAGAGCCAAAGCAAACATTACTTTAAATCTGTCTGATTACCTTTTATTTTTATTTTTGTCATAAGGGCCCTGATTTGAAATAGCACTCTAGTGCCTACTCTAAAGTAAAAAAGACCACAAGATGTAGCTGCTACATATTAAAGTAATGTGTGGTTTGGGCCCTAGCATTCCAAAAAGTATAATACTGCTAGCATTGATGCAAAATATATTGGAACACACAAGAAACACACCAAAAATATTTCTCTGAAGTTACTACAGTTTTAAATACTATCATTATGTATTCAGAATACTCAACATTACAGACTACCATATAGCACAAACCATGCAGTTCTATTTCCTGTATTAATATGTTTAGGGATGTGATTTTAATTAGGAAATTCTAGCCAAAGGCCAAGTTATAAACAAAAAACATAGGGACCTTCATTCCCCCAACAAAAACAAGGATAAATGCTTTTAATAACATTTATGCAAAGATTAAAACTTTTAGCCAATTCAGATAATTTGAGGATTACTCTTTCCTTGTTTAAGTATATTGTATATTTTAAAAATGTTAACATATTTGGACAAAGGGGTGGTGAAAATCATGAACAAAAAGAATTACCTGATTCCTTTTTGAAGGATCTGATGGAATGGCTTTGGATAATTGCTTAACTTCTTTTTGTACTTCTGTAAATATCTTATTTACCATGTTGACCTTCTCATCATTCACAATATTGATCTTTGGGAAAAAGAGAATTTGAGGATTTTTGTATTTCAAGGTAAGATAAAGCATTCACCATGTAACACTTTCAAACATACACTGAATATACGATACCATATTCTCAAAGTTATCAAATACTAAATGGAAAAAATACCCCTACTTGGGTTACATTATATTAAATCATTTCAGAGGTTTGGTAATGAATTTGATAGAATAAAACCAACAAGGTAAGCATTCTTACTGAGTCTGTATAAAAGCCCATCCCCACTTACTCCTGAAGGTGGGGCCAGCAAACACATTTTCATTTCCCCCTCCATGCATTTCACTACGAATTTGAAGAGGAGTTAAACTGATATTCTTATGACTTCCATTATTCTGTAACTACATATACCACTTCAGGGGGATGGTGGATGACAGGAAGGCCTGGAAGAGTGTTGTCCATGGGGCTGCGATGGGTTGGATGTTACTTCGCAACTAGCAAGCAAGCACGTATACGACTGCAACAGCTGGTTGCTTTAACATGCACAGAACAAGCACAAATGCTAATGAAATGTTCAAAGTGGCTTTCTGATACTTACTTTTTTTAAACTGGTTGTCACTGGCTTTGCTTTACTCTTAGCCTTCATTATTCTTTTGTTGGCCACATGGAATACATTCTTCTGCATTTGACTTTTTGCCTTGTTCTTGCCCATTGCCTAAAACATGGTTTTAAAAAATCATTTGTTCCACCATTTATACAATATTTTAGCAAATTAAGAATATGTTGCTTTAGTAAGCAATATTTAAGAGCTACTTTAACCATTTATGCAAGTAAGGCTTTATTTTTACATGCTTGTTTTGAAATAAGTACATGGGATTTGCTTCTGAATAAAGATACAAAGAATTCAGCTGTTAACTCAGACACCCAGTTTTATCAAACATTTAGAACTGGGCTGCAGTGACCACGGCACTTACCCATACAGCGTAAGGCCCAGTTCACTTATAACAACCATTCTTGGGTTGTTTAATCCATAAGTATTTGGAGCTGTTCTGGACCAAGTATTTCCACTCACTGCTTTGTTTTCAGTTTAGTAAACAACCCAGGAATAGGTTGTGTTCCTTCACATGTGAACCCAGCACTCCATGTTGATGAAAGAGAAGCAACCCAGACTTTTAATCCACCTGTAGACAATTTTAGCACAAGGCTTTAAACCCATTGTTTTTTGACCAATGAGTGTAACAGGTTCAGATGTTACAGAACTCAACTGAAGAACAGGGCATTCCTGAGTTGTTTACTAAATCAGAAACAAAGCAGTAGTGGCCATTCAGGAAGCAGATTGCTCCTCCATGGCCCTGACTTCATTGTTGTCAAATTGACAACATAGCCACCCTATGAAGGAATGCTTTTCTTTGACAGCTCTACTCAACTTTTGTAAATTCTTTTATACAGTCAGTGCATCTGATGTTTGACCCTCCTTTTCTTCCGCTTTCAACTTTCCCTAGCACTATTCTCCACTGAGTCTTGCCTTGGTTTAAGCAATCATGTGAAGTTGTTGTGTGAACAGAACCAGTCCGCCTACTAGGAGGAGCCTGCTCTTACTTCCATTCTGTGATAAGTGGGTTTTCTCACCAAAGCCCTTAAAACACAGGAAAAAGGAATCAAAACAAGCATGACCCCAAACTGCCTGGAGAAAAATATGTACATCCATTAAAAGGAAGACAAAAGGAATGATCCAGGGGCTCCTAGATTTGCCTGAAGACCACAGCATAGTTTGGCTTCTCAGGCATAAGGAGAAAGACAGTGCTCTAAACTCAAACTAGGAATCAAGAGCTTTGACCCCTTGCAGCCACTGGGGTAAGAACTGTGCGGGAAGCTCTCCAAATTCAGCAAAGCAACCCTAGACGGGTTAAACGGAGTGTTGTGGAAAAGAGGTGATTGAAATTATCAGGTTATAAACTCTCCTTAAGCTGCTCCAGCCCCCTTTCCATCCAAGATGCCCCAGCAAACAAGCCCATCTAGGAATAATGCAGAGCAGGAGGACAGGGGTATAAATAGTGCCTCTGCACGTCTTTCCACTCTGTATTGTAGACTTACACACATCCAGTAGACTGTACCCTAAGTAAATGGGGTGAGTTTCCAGAAAAGAACTAAGGGCACTTATTTGAATAAGACCTGGGAGAAACATGATCTCAAAATGTGGTCTCAAACCTAACAGGAGTTGGTTGGTGGATACTGGGCACAAGATTCTCACTGCATATATGTCTAAAATCTGGATATAGTTTAATACAGCATAAATACATGTATCAGAAGAAAGTTTTCTTGTCTAGAGTTCTGTTTTATGTCCCACATTTTGCACTTGCAGCTTGTGGAACATTCACTAATAGTATTGCATACAGCTGTGGTTTACATATTTGGGTAGGGAGATGGGCAAGCATAGCAACAGGCTCCATCCCTCAGTTTCCAAGGGCATTCTTCAGACATACTGATGAACAAGTGTAGGTCAGGAAAAGAGCACGATCATTATTGCCCAACTAAACAATTGAACTGGAGGTACAGTTATGCATATGTAGGTTCTGTTCAGTAAAATAACTGAGCAGCAGGACCGGTATTCTCACTTCCTCTCTACATGTTCATGTGAGCTTGGACAAATGTATGAACTGGGCCTAGAACCCAGGATAAGCAAGCAGTTTGTTAAATAGGTTTGGAAATGTATTCAGCCAATGAAACAATACTAAAACATTCCATCCCAACCTCATCCCTACTATCAGTAAGATTTGGGCAGTTGAGTGCCTATAAATTTAGAAGCAAAACAACCCCCCTACACACACACACACACACACACACACACACACACACACGGCTTTCACATACCTGAGGGATTCCAAGGAAAATAGTCATCTACAAACTTGCAGATTAAAAAGGGAGAATTTAACCATTCCCTTGCCCCTACAGAAATACACTATACACAGACATTTCAGAAGGTAATAGAAAAAGACACACACACACAGCCCGCCAGAACACTACCCATTTCACACATAGCTATAAAATTGTGTATGCTATATCCTAGTATTAGGAGTAGTTTTAGTGGAATTTGGTTTGAGTGCCATTTCCTTGGTAAAAATCCTTCAGTCCTTAACTTCTGCCAAGCCCAAAACTCACTTTAAGAATACTACTGCAGATTGGCTGGCATCAAGTATAGCAGCACTCTTAAAAATGGATCGATTAAAAACTGCAACAGCGTATTACTGATGCCAAAAACGTTCTTATGCCATTCTTTAGCAAAAAGGCTCCAAGAATCGAGCCTTATCCAGGGCAGTTCCTTCCCTGTACGCTTACAACCTAAAAGCCACAACACAAAAGGAAATGGAATTGAAAGCAACCTCAAGGAAACAGACTATTTTTTTAATAACTAGCAGCTGGAATGGAAACAGCTGACGGACTGGAGGAACCGAACGCCCGGGAAACTTCCGCAGGGCAGCCTGATGGGGTGGCTTACATAGTATTGCTTTTACTACCAGCCGGCATACAATGGCAAAACCTTTCCCACCCTCCAGGAGTGTCGGGTCACGAGTCCCAGACTCCTCCAGACAGCTGTCTGGGGGGCTTGCAGTCCAACAGACCTGGATGGCACCAGCTTGGGAAGGCTGAAGTTTGATGAGCCCCGCTCAATTTCCCCCACTGACATTACCTTCCTCTCTCCAGAGCAGGCATGAGAACCTTTCCTCCCGTAGACACGCTTCCCAAACCCTTTCCGGCCACATGCGGGTTACACGTCATCCAAACGCGCCTGGGCGGTCCTTCGTTGCCCGACCTTCCCACAGAGAAAGGGGTGCGGCTTGACCCTGTCAGTCAAGAGAAAATGCACTTTCTTCTAGGTGGAAAAGAGGTGGGCGCGACACGGGCGCCTTCCGGTTAGAACTGCAATCTTGGTATATCTAAGGCTGACCCAGCGTTCCGAGGAAAGCCTTTTCCTTCAACCAGGCTGGGAGTTGTAGTCCAACTTATGCGGAGGACACTAGATTGGAGAGGAGGACTACCCGAGGTCGAGGGCACAAGTCCCATTGAGCACAACGGCACCTCTTCGTCCATACGCTTAGGCTAGAGAAACTGAAATAAATAAAATAAATGCACACTTTGAGACGGCAGAAAGTAGCCTGTGAGCTCAGGCCGCCTGACTTGCGCTTCCTCCAAGATCGGAGTGGAAATTGTGGAAAACAAAGCGACCTCCCTCTGCCGGTTAGCCCAGGCTAAGGTTCGCTGCCTTTTACATAGTTGGCTGCATGGAAACTGTGTTGCTTTCGATCCTGCGACAAGGAGCAGAGTCCGGATAATTTCCCTAAGCTACGACGTGCGGTCCAGAGACAAATGTTTAAGGAGACCGTTTGGATTGCACCGACTAGGAGTTTACTTAATTCACGTCAGTGTTCAAGCTCTGTACAGCTTAGCCAATAATTATGTTTAGATCTAGAAGAATGGAGTACCTCTGAGCATATGTGGGCAGATGATACAGACTGAAGTCAGTTTGGGGCTATTTTGTTAGATCATCTAGTGCCAGTGGGAGTCTTGGAAAGCTTGGACTTGGATGGATAGGAGTTTCATTCAGAAAGCCACTTTGTTTGCTATTAAGTAAAAATTAATAGCTAAGAGACAGTTTACACTGCCTATTTTTCGTGTTTATATTCCCAAGGAGCTCAGAGGGTTACTCTTTGACTTTGATCCTCACAACAGCCCTATGAGACAGCTTAGTCTGAGAGAGTATGATTGGCCCAAGATCATGGCTGATGATAACAAATTATTTAGAGTGGTTAAATTAAACAAAAAACAATTGTGGAAGCCTCCACTGGAAGAATGGGTATCAAAATGGTAAATTCATTTCAGTATAAGCAAATTTAGTGAAGTGCATGTTGGGGGAAAAATTGCAGTGGCTCAGCGGGTAACTGACCTGAACAAGAAAAAGACTTTGTGGTTGGCTATGGGCAGCTTGATGAAAAAGGCAGATTCCAGGCTAGGCATAATGTGATAAGGAATTGAAAATAAACGTGCCAAGATCACATTGCCTGTAGGACCACACTTGGAATACTGTTTGCTGTACTGAAGATTGCTAGAAAAGGATATTGTAAAGTTGGAAAACGTGCAGAGTGTGTATGATATTGATCTGTGTAATAAGCTCCCACACAGCACACAGAAAAGAAACAACTGCTGGGCATTGCCAAGACAGGTTCTTGAAAAAAAGCAGTAGCTGTATTGTACAATCTGTAGTTAGCTGCATTAGACAATCCCGTTTTAGAGAGATGTAGTATCCAATAGACACAATACATACGTTTTTGCTGAATAAGACACAATCTGAGATCTATAAACATATCAGCTAGACAGTAAAGCAGTTGTCCACTGGTTAGGGATTTTGTAGTGGTGCCCACAAAATCCCCTAATACACTCACGTATCCAGAAATGCTAGGGACCCTGGGTTGCAATACCTGGGAGTATTTGACTTAGAAATATGGTGAAGGAGGGAAGACATAAACAAATTTATTCATGGTGCTGAGAAAGTGGAAAGGGAAATGTAATCCTGGTGACATACGACTAAAATCCTTGGTAAGCCTATGAAATGTATTGGAGGGAGATTCAAGTTGGACAAAATGAAGTATTTCTGCACACTGTGCAAAATTCAACTATGGAATTCACTTCCACAGCATGTAATGATAGTCACCAATGTGGATGGCTTTAAAAGGGGACTGGACAAACTCATGGAGTATAAGGCTAATTGTAGCTGCTCAATCAGACTGCTCTGTGCTACATCCAGTATCAGAGACAGTGTGCTTATGTACATCCTGCCTGGGAAGTATGAGCAGGAAGGCACTGTTGCACTCATGTCCTGCTCACAGGGACCTGGTTGTCTCTCCAGCGCAGGTTCTTTACTCTCAACCAAAGCATCACTCTGTCACCTTGGCTATATGGCTTGGTTACTAAGAGATCCAGACGGTGCACCCTGTATTTGAATATTTAAAATTTATCAATGGATGATTAAGATTTTAGCTTAAAAATGAACCAACACAAAACTAAAGAAAAGCTACCCCTGTGTTAAGTACTTTTCCTTATCAATGGCTACTAGTTAAGATGGCTACATATTACTTCTCACAGCATAGACAGTATGCCTCCCCATACCATCCAGCCCTGGATGTAGGCTTCCCATTGGGAGATATGGTTGTTCACCAAGGGAACAGAACGATGGCCTTTTGTCTGATCCAGCTGAGGGTAAAGCAGCCACACCCTGAGCCAGTTCACTTTCATCAGGAATAGAAGATGTGGCTTTCTGACAGGACTGAGGGCTGGTATTACTCAAGCTAATAGTCAGACTATTTTGATGGTTAAGATAGTGTGACAAGTTTTGTAGAGTTCTTTCTGAAGTCATATGTGTTTTAGTCAGGCTGTTAAAGGATGCTTGACAGATAGTATACCGACATTTATTTAAAATATGCTAAGTGGTATATAAATTACTTAAGGACAGAAGGAGGAGGGTTGACAAAAAAGGCAGGTTGAACAATGGTATCTGTACATAAAATATTTTGGCAACTTCAGGTTCAAAATCAGGAAAAATCTGTCTGCCAGCTGTTGCAAGCAAACTCCAAGTTGCAGTATTAGCAGCAAACTGGAGATGGCAGTGTCCTCATGTAGTTAATATGAGACTTGCAGGATCTGAATTCAGACTGAACCTCCATCTAATCCAGCATCCCGTTTCACCTACTGGCCAAACACAAGTGCGCGCACGAACACACACACACACACACACACACACACACACACACACACACACACACACACATCAGTGGCATGCTGCCTGGAATGGGGTATCCATTCAGCAGGATTGACTGAAGCCAAGTTCACAAATGCAACAAAATGAAGTAGCAGAGAGACTCTTGGTTCAGACTGCAGATGGGAAATATGATTTGTGAATTTTTCTCCATGTTAAAAATTATCCCTGAAAGTAGAACACAAGCATACAAGGAAAGTTGTGTCCCATTCCAACCTGTGGTGATGTCCATCTCTACTAAGAATTGGTACTATTTTACCACTACATTTTGCTGCATGTCTCAACCCAGCCTTACTTGGAGCCCACTGTGTGCTTTCATGCCAGAACAACACTGGAATTACACTTATTCTTGTGTTTATATCCTGGCTTCTTTACTCTTGTGAGGAACCTAAGACTGTTTTTTACATTACTCCATTTTTTTTCCACAGCAGCCCAGTGAGGAAAGTTAGACTGAGAGTGAGTAACTGGCCCAAAGTCACCCAGTGAGCTTCACTGGTGAAGTAGGAACAAGAACCCAGATCTGCCAGGTCCCCAGTCCAATACAGCCAGACAACACTGTTTCTTATTAATTGAAAACTTAAACACCAAGGTGGTTCTTAAATGTGTGCTGTGGAGTCACATTTCTCTTTCTTCTTTTTGTAGTTTACTCTTCCCTCGTACAGTGTACGTTATCTGAATTTTACATTCGCCCCAAATGATCTGACATCACAGTTTGAGTACTGATGGCTATATATGGTTGGACTCTTGCATGGGAAATTCAGAGTTTGCAGAGCAGGTATCCCACAGTGAAGAATTTTTCTGTCTAGTATGCAATGATCCTGCAATTGTCATTACCTGTTAAAGAGCTGGCAGGAAGAAGAACAGCGCACAGGATGAATTTGTGGAAGGGTGTGCACTTGAGATAGTATGTGCGCCTACGCAACACTTGTGCACACCCTTTAAGAAACAGGCCCCTTGTCCAGAGTGGTAAGCTGTGTTTAAGAAAAGCAAACAGGAGGTAGAAAAGAGGCACAGTTAATGATGCAATAGCACGAGTCTCACTTCACATGAAAGCTTCTTTAACAGCACACAACACCTGAGTCATTCTAGCCCAGGATCCTGACTGTTTGTTGAGTGACAAGAATTGGACATAATCCATGTCCTGTATCTGTGTTTCCTGTGAGCAACTGCACAAACAGAATGCTAGTAGATGGACCCCTGGTCTGATTCAGGATGCCTCTTCTTATTTCTAAAGGCATCTTAATGGTAAGTATATACACAAGAAAAGTTTTTGTATAATTTTGACACTTTTTATGCAGTTCCTGGGGATTTGAATTCTGGATGTGTTTAAAGAGTTGTGTGCCAGAACAAACCTCCAAACCTTTGGTTACTGAGAAATATGTCATCTCTTTGCTAATCATCATTGCCACCTTAAAGTTAAAAATTGGCTACAACTACATAGGGATCCGGAAATGCAAGAAAGATCAGATATCTTCCAAAAGCCTTCTGGTTGTACAGTCCTTTGACAGAACCAGGTTTCTTGGACTACCAAGCAATTTTACTCACCATATGACACATTTTGGTTTAATTCACAGCATTTATATAGATCTTACTTTATATTAAAATTGCTTCAACAGCTGTGCAAAGTAGGACAGTACTAGTACAGTAGACCCCACAAATTTCAGATAGGCAAAAGGCGAGCTGAGACTGTGACTTGCTCAAGCTTGTTAATTAATATTGCTTTCAGATAGTCTTGGATGCAATCTGTCAGTTGAGATCTAGGAAGGTCACTCCGCTGTCTGGTGGCCATACCTGAATGTTCTTGAGTGCAGAACCTTGATACAGACCTAGTTGCAAAAGTGCTGTGTGTTGGCCAGGAGCCCATCTGCTGCACTTTCTGCAAGGTGATCCTATACTCTGTATCTGCTTAGCCTTTATAATCTCTTTCCTGTGGTCTGCTAGTAAAGTGCTTAAATGTTTTGACCCACAAGTGAGCTTGTTGTCTCTAGATCCCTGCCCACTGGCAGATGATTAGTCAGAAGTAAATCTCATGAGTTCAGTGGGGTTTATTTCCAGTTAATTAGGTATAGCATCGTTGTCTTAATCACAACATTATTCTGGCTTCCTTTACAAAAGCATTTCATTACAGAGGGACATTAGGGACATTTTTGCCAGAGAAATGAATACCTGTGAAATAGCTGACAGCCAATGTGTTAGAGACCAGAGCAACACACACTTACATTAAAAGTTGATGCACAACACTGATACTCTCATGATTCTTTGCTTGGTCCCACCATACTATTTTAGTTGTAATTGGAATGAAGTCAGTTGTTTGCTTGTTATTTCCTTCAGCATATGAGTAGGGGGTGAACAATCTCTTCTGGCCAATATTTTTCACATTATCTTACATTTCTTACACATCCATTTCATGCTTGTCTTTCTTTGTATTTTCAGCTATCACATCTATCTTGCTCTCTTGAAGCTGCAGTGCAATGAAAAAGAGGTAGCCATAAACATTGTAGCCGTGCATATTATTTGGCCTGCATACACAATGTGTACTGCTTACTTGAGAAGAATTGCTCTGCAATTTGGTGGTGGTGTTGCTCTGTGATACCTTGCTGACTGAAAGGTGGGAGAGGATAAATGGTCTTGCCTTTTGTGTAATGGTACGTAGGCCTGGATCTTCTGTCCAAAGTTGGGAAACTGACTACTGCACCTGTGTAACTACCATATTTCATATGGCTGCCAAAATGCTACACGCATGCACACATCAAATGCTTCTGTGGTAAACTTGCTGAATCCAGATAGTCAATTAAAATGTAGCCAAGCTTTGATGCTGGCAGCAACAGAAGATGTTCCAGGACTAAGCTACCCCTTTAGTTCTTTGTTAGGCTTTTTCTTAAGAACAGAACAATGGTACCTATATACAAGTCTGGGACCTGCTTCTGAACAGACATGCACTGCACGACTTCCCTGCTTTATAAACAAACCCAAAGCATTTTGCTGGCTAATGTGGTGGGAAGTGGGTGAAAACGGGGGGAGTCTTCTCTTACATTTTACTAATAGGGAATGAACCCCACTGTGAGGTTTACTTCGGAGTATTGCTGCTTAGAATTGGATCTCAAACTGTTCTTTTGAAAAGGTGGAAGTCGGGGCCAGGCAAACAACCAAAAGGGGAAATTGTTGCTTGATTTCTAGAGAAGTGTTTATGTTTGTCTGTTGTAGCAAAATCAGTGAAACGTCTGTGACACCTTAAAGAATAACCAAAACAAACTCCCTAACTCCCATGCAGGGCTGTGGCTGGGGGGACAGCTCCCTAATTTTATTTATATTGATTTTATGTATTTACAATATCCGTACACTTCTGCACAGCCAAGAACATTCCGGAGTGGTAAAACACATTTAAATAAAAACATAAAAGCAATGCACTGGAATGCTGCCTTTGCCTGGCATAAGCTTTCACCGACATTGTCCGCTTCATCGGACTGTGGCATCGGATGAAATGGGCTGTAGTCCACCAAAGCTCATGCCAGAATACAGCCTACCAACCCTGACACGACCGCGACATTCTCGCCAGTTTCCCCAAAGCTACGTGACTCCGCTTTTTAAGTGACGCGCTCCTCCGTGGGCCCTTCCTTTGCCTCTGTCGGAGAGCTCCCCTGGCGGCCAAGGGCAGTTACTGCAGGGCGCTCTGCGCATAAGAAGGCGCCTCAGGAGCCGCCCGGGGCGCGATCTGCCTCTGCCTCGTGGAGCCTGCAGCTCGTGTGCGCACCGACGGGCGCTCGCCGTTGTGTACCGCCTCTTCCTCCTTCATCTGCATCTTCACCTACACCCGTTAGGGGGGTAGCCATGCTGCACTGGGGATACGATGAGGACAACGGTGAGGGGGGAGAGCTCCAGATGGCTCTCAGGGGCAAGAGGAGCAGGGTGGGAGAGGGCTGTAGGTGGTCGGAGGAACGGAGTCCCGAGGGACAGAAAGCACGGGTGGAGTTTCCTTCAGTTTAGGATTTTGTTTATTCATTATTACGATTTGGTGGATGGGGGAGGAAGCTGTAAACGTTCTTGCGACTGCAAACTTCATGCTAACTTCATATGTTAGGCAGGGGATTGTGGCACACGTGTGATGGATCCGCTTTTCTGTTTGAAGCCCAGGAATGCGTGTTCAGGCACTTACATCACACGTGTCCCTCTGTCCTATATCTGTTTCCCGGGAAGTAAGACCTGTTCAGTATGGGGGGATTTACTCTCGGGTAACGATGCATTTGCACCTTTGCGAATCCGAGTAGCCTTTTCGTTATGGTTGCATTCATCTTCAGCACCACTTAAGAATACAACCACTGGAATGAATGGGACTTAAACTAAGAGTGGAGAGTGTCCACAAAAGCTTATGCCAGAATAAATCAGTTTGTTAGACTCTTCATTGCTTTTGTTGCAATGGAATGCTGCTCTTCTAGAAATTGGATATAAACCTTTCTTTCCCTGCTGAGCATTGGATCCATATTAGCCTTGCAGTGCAACCATCAAAGAGTTTTATTATGACACCTTAAAAACATACAATATTTGTTTTGGTCTATGCTTCTTTGATCTGTAACCAGCTTCATCAGATAACTCTAGTACACAAAAACATGGAATATATTTGTTAGCCTTTTAGACACTGGAAGACTCATAGTTACTTTTTTAAATAGAAAACTTATAAACTCAGCCCATAAGACATGGATGCTAGAAGAAAATATGACTTGCTTTTCAGGTTAGCTAGCTTTCAGTTGCAGTTTTGGGATGGATGGGAGAGGAGGGATTGATCTCTGGAGACACTAAATCACATGACACATTAGTTGGTCAAAAATGCTTCAAAGTGAGTTTAAAGGTGGACGATATTTAGTGCTACCCGGAGATAAAAAGGGATCTTCTTTATTGATAAAAATACTTCCCAAGCCAGAAACAGCAGCTGCCTTTCATATAACAGTGGCTTTTCAGAGTGGTGTGGGTAAGATATTTAAATATAAACTCTGATTGCTACAAGAATGAAGTGCAAGGCTGTAGTTGAACTTAATTTGGTTTGTTTTCCCTCTTTGTTATTTTCAATTACTAATCTTTTCTTAGTTATAGTTCAGTTCCACAATATATATTCTTTATCTCTTTCCTTTTCTATCATGGACTCAGTGAATCCAGTCACATGATGACTGACTTAAACAACCCATGGCATGTGCTGGGCATATTTGACTAATTACTCATCTGGGCACAGCTTGTTGTGGGGTGGCATGGGTTATTGAAAGGTTCTTTCAGCCTTCAACAAGCCAACAGTAGGCCGTGGCTTTTTGGAGGATCATTTGCCTTGGCTTGCCTGAGAACATGATTAGGCAAATTGCATTTGGCATATGCCACAGTAAACAAGCCACTGTGGTTTGTGCAGTCTTGCTGTACATGTTTGCCATGGCTCATTCACCTGGTCTATAGCTACCTAAACCCTTTTTAGGCCTTTTTAGGCCAACACAAGCTTTAGACAGTTCTGACACTGACATTCAAAATCACATTTTAGTTTGTCTCCGATTATTTGTGTCTTGTGAATGTTGTTCATGTTGCAATGCAGAAGTGAAATCAAATGCCTATTCTAGGCCATCCAGACCTTTACCTTCACATTCTAGTTTGATTTAAGTCCAAACCCATATAAGTTAAGAAGAAATGAATGACGCTTGAAAGTAATTTGTGATGATGCCACAAAGATAAATTGAAGGCTTTTAAAACTGCATTTCTACTTGAATTGCAAGTGTTTTCCATTAAAATTGGTCTGAAGTTTCTGGGATTAAAGTGGGAGGCAGAGGACAAAGCTCTAAAGCCAAAAATGGGGGGGGGGGGGCACAATATCCAGTTGCTCATGTTGGTGCTTGCTGGATAGCAGTGGTAGAACTCTGCTGCAGTTATGTCAGCAGTGCCTCTATGTACTTGCTCTGATTCTGAGAATAGAATCTGTGGGTGAAAAGAAGCCAGTTGAGGCTCAGCAGCTCAGATGCAATCAACATGCACAGCACACTATGCAACTCAGGTGTAATGTGCAGTTGCTGCCAGTGCTGCAGGTCACCCAACTGATAAGAAGAAAGCATCAGGGTTGATGACACATTGCTCTCAACAATGATTGGCACTGGCTTCTGGCAGCTCTGATTACAACAAAACAGGGAAGGCTTTATGAGGAGTCCCACTCATGACCGGGGAGAGAAGGAGCTTGGTGGTAGAGCATTTGGCCCATGCCCCAGGTTCAATCCTTGACATCTCCTGATAGGGTTGGTAAAACTGCTCTGACATCCCAGGCAGTATCAGCTATTCTAAGGTGTCCTGCCTTATAAGACCATGGACTATCTTTTGAATCGTGACTCAGGTTTAGAAGGACATAGTTTTATGTATCAAGCACAAGAGAAAGGTGACTAGGAATGAATCCAAAAATAAAACTTTATGGCAAAGTTGAATGCCCACAACCATCACAAGTACACCTGCTTGGTCATATTCATGTTCGCAACTTGGGTACTCATTTCTGTGCCATTCATTGCTGGGAGTTAAGCTTGGGGCATCTCTGAGTCTGGGCATCCTTTTACCTCCTGTGATGAGCAGGATCCAATAAACTAATAACATCTCTTTAAACCAATCACTTCGTTTTCTAAGCAAAATTGCTTAGTAAACTTCAGTTTTACTTTAAAGCTGATGCAGTCGTCTAATCTCGACACAACAGCAGGACGCATGACATCTGTTTAGCAAGCTATGCATGAGAGATAAGGTTATGGAACGGTGTGCTCTGCTGCATATGGAGGAGCGCCAAACAAGGGACTTTATGTCTGTTTAGTCACATCTGAGAGCTTGGTAAGATCCCTCCTCTGCAAAATAAGGAAATAGATGAGAAACATCAAGTCCATCCAGCTGTGCTAGTGATACTTGGAACTCTAATGCACAATGCAATTGCGTGTGCAGTTGCATGTGAAATACATTTGCCAGGATGCCCTCTTTGGTTGCACTGTCAGAAGACATTGGACACTTGTTTGAAATATTCTAGTGCACTGACTTCATTAACATTACAGCATTGCAGAACTTTGACTTGAAATTTCCAGTGACTTGTAATGCTACAAGTGTTCTATATTTAGAAAAACAAAACATTTTAACTCACAAATCAACTCTCTATAACTAGTAGAACTTTTATTTCTTTGAGTAGTGGCTTTCATTCCAAGGTAACTATTAACCCACAGAGGAAGTCATATTTATGCACATTTATGCCTGATGTATGAAAAAAATAATTACTACTTGGTAGGATGATGTGGAAGAACAAAGGTCAGTAGTTTTAAAATTTATTTTAATTAAAAGTCATGTTTGCATAATCTAGAAACTGCTAAAGGCTGCAATCCTGTGCAGACTTTCATTGTACACAGTGAGGATTCTTTCCAAACCAAACAAACAAACAAAGCATTTTTGAATCACATTATACATGTAAACCACCACACTTGTATTTAAGACATCCTAGGTCCCTGCAGAGTTACACCAATTTAAATACAACCATGCATGCTTAAGTAGTGTATGGGTTACACCAGCCTAGTGCTTTCCACATGTGCCGGTGCCCCCATCATCCATATCCAACTTGAATAATTGCTGAGGTGATAGGAGTTGTAGTCCAACACATCTGGAGAGCACCAGATTGAGGAAAGATGGATTACACAGCTGAAATGAAAGCGTGAGTAAATTTTGCAGCTGCAAAATGTGAAGATTGTTTTATAATAAATAATGTATTGGTTTTACTTGCTAAAGTGATTCTATAAACAGGACAATCCTTCAGTATGAGTGAATATAACACTGCAGCTTATCTGTTTGGGGGCTATAATATGACTAAGCATATATGTTAAGAAGCACAGCTTGAGAGATAATCTCAGTGGGACAGAAACATGATTGACGTAGAATGAACTGTGCATCTCCTAGATAACATAAGGTTACGGTGGTAGCTTCCCCTCAGAAGCAGAGATACGGTGTTTATCAAGATACAACCATGTCACACTTGGTAGATGGCCTTACACGAGCTGCTTTGAGCTCAGCTTTGGCCCTTCATCAGCAATCCTGGGATAACAATGCCAGTTTTATATAGCTCCTGTAAGGATTATTATGGAAAGATCTGTAGGACCCTAAACAATTGAATGTGGTATATAAATACTCAGTATTATTTATGTTTTATTATCTCAGATTATTGATGAAAAATGTTTTAAAATGCTAAGTGTGAGTAGTTCATTTTCCTGACAAATGAAACAGATTGGGATGGGTGGCAAGCTTTGGAGGAGTTCATAACCTTATCTCAATTACACTTGTGTAAGCCAAGTTGACCTGAAATTCAGTTGATATTGACACTGCCTTGAAATGTATGAAATGGATTTGTACAGCTGAATTCAACTTGAATTATATTCATAGAATCACTGACTGGAAGGAACTAAGCGAATTTCCAGCCTTAGTATCTTGTATCACACACTGGCACATCACTTAGAAATTGACACGCAGGAATCTCCAGAATGATGTTGACAGTCTCTACAACTTTTCTAAGGAATGGAAAGCTAAAAGAATGATATCAGAGGAGATACAAAGTTATGTGGAGACCTGAGTTGGACCATAAGCATTTGTGAAGTAGGTGTGGGTAAACCTCCACCTGTTTGTGCCAGAACTCTCATAATCTCTCATTGGAATTTTATGCTAAAGCATCCATGGGGACAGCAGTCGCATACCTCTGACATAAAGTGATTGAGTTACAAAGGAAAAATTGTAGCCTAACAAAGAATTATTTTTAAAGCAACTAAAAAAAAATAAAAAGGATGAGATAGCCTTCCTTCTTATAAAGTAGAAATTTCTTTTAGTTAACTGTTCTTAATTATCTCAGCTGGTATTTTTTTCAGATAGTGGTTTATTTTATGAGTTAGAGTTCACACGGAGAGAAATTCCATGTCCTGGTCACCAAAGTGACCACAAATATGCTAGTTACTAAGGATTTCACATTTTTCCTTTCCTCCTTGTAGAAGTTGTAATTTTATGAGGTAAGTTAGGGATTTTCAGCATATTGATTCTTAACAATTTCATTAGCCTACAGTTTCTTAAAGATTCTTTAAGAACAGCTATGACAAGTATGAGTAAAATGGCAGAAAATCAGTATAACTTTAAATTGTCAATATGCTGTGAATTCTGGTTCTTTTTTCTGTTCCTGCTCAAGGGGTGGCATCTATAAACGGAACATGTTTCTAAAAATTAGACTTTAGAATAAGTTTAAAGCCCTGTCATTCTCAATTTGCACTCATTAAAGTTTCAGTATGTTCAGACAGAAAAATGGGTAACCAGGGACACCTCCAGGAATTGTAGGCCTTTCTTCTATTTAAATACAAGGCTTCTCCCTAAGAGTATGTTTTTCTGTCCAAATATGCTTAGGATAACACACCAAATAGACACCAGCAATGACTGAAATCCTAGGTCTGGTCTACACATAGCCCAGAATGAAGTGGCTTGGAGATGAGCAAATGGATAGTGGGGGGTTATAATCACATTTGGAAATCACAAGTGGGAAAACTTCTGTATGTGGGGAAATGGTATGCAGGTAGGAAACACTGCATTTCAGGGCACTTCAGAGCATGAATCTTTCTCTCCAATGTGTGTACTCCATCACTGGGTTCTGAATCAATATACAGTTGGGCATTTTAGATGTGCGTATTTCAGCCCAGTATGGGGAAATGTTGAGACATGCCTTGTGTGCTGAAAGCTCCAGGTCCAATTCCCTGGGGCTGGGAAAGGCTTCTTTCAGAAGCCCCTGCTGGTCAGTTTTGACACTGCTGAGTTAGATAGACCAATGGTCCAACTCAGTATGAGGCATCATCTTATGTTCCTATGACACTGAACCAGCATGAAGCATTTTAGATGTGTGGATTACACATTAAATGGCTAATGAGTGAATGTTCTCTGAATCTATTGCATGTGTGTTAATTTCAGGTGCCTGCTGCATTCCTAATGACCAGAATGCCTGGAAGTAGGCAGAAAATGATCAACCCTAGTGTTCTAACCCGCATCCTTGGGTATTTAATTCATTAGAATTAAGATTTATATAAAGAACTGTTTTATAGTTCTTCAAAGAAAGGGTGGTGTACTTACCATCCATTCAAATCCAAACATTTTTAATAATCTGAATAATATTTTTATAAGAAAAATAAGAAAATCCAGGTAGGTCCTTGTGATTATTTTCTCCTATGATACTTCCTTTGTTTCTCTGACTGCATGAAATGTATTTTAATGAGCAACATTTCTACTGCAATGCATTCTAGGACCTTCTCACTGGAAGGAAGTTTTCCCTGTTGCTAATGGAGACCGCCAATCTCCCATTGATATCCAAACTCAGAAGACCAAATATGACCCCACTCTGCGTCCTCTCTACCCTAACTATGATCCTTCCTCTGCTAAAGTCATTCTCAACAATGGACACTCCACCAGTGTGGAATTTGATGACACTGAAAATAAATCAGGTTTGTTGTGTGACAGATTTAATTCTGTTTCATTGTACTCTTTCGTTTAGGAATAATTTCAGTCTTCACCTGAGATGACATTACATTCTATGAGCTGGAACACAACCAGTCTCCAGGGAAGATCATTTTATTTTGTCCTTGATATTTTGCCATTATCTCACCTACCACAAGAAAGCTCAACATTGTCCCAATTCTGGTTTAAATGAATTTGTCAAACAGTGCTGTCTCTTGCTCTCCAGCACAACTGAAGTCTTTGTTTCTCCATGTAGGTTTGATTTCATGTGAATGGTTCAAATTTCTTGCTTCTCCTTTATTTTTAGTCACCGAGTGAGTTAGGTTCCAGAAAATAAGTTCATTTTCCCAAATTCAGAGGAGCGAAGGAAAAAATAAAACAAGTCAAAGGATTACCCATGGATCGCCATATACACAAATTCCTACTGACCAAGTTTTCATACAAATTCACAATTTCAGGGATTATTGTGTTTACTAGAGGAAACTCTCTGTATTTCAAAACCCTTCCTTTACATAGCTGATCAACAAATCTTTATACAGAAAATTCTCCTGGAATTACTAGAGGAGGGAAACCCCCCCTCCCACACACACATGCAGAAAACAATTGAATGTGGTATGTAAGTACTCAGTATTAATTATGTTTTAGTATCTCAGATGGTTGATATAAAATGTTTTAAAATAGTTGATGGATAGTTGATTTTCCAAATGAAGGGAACAGAGTGGGATTGAGGGGGGGTGGAGTGAGGTTTGGATGATTTTTAAAGGTATAGTGCTTACCTTCAAGCGGAAGATGGAAATATGCAAGTGGCTTGAGAAAGGTGAGTCATGCAGTTCTCAATTTAATGTCAGCTTGTCTACAACATTAAGGCTCAGTCTCAAAAGATAGAAATTGGTTTTGCTTTGTCTTAATTTGCTTTTAATTACTGTATTCCAATATTAATACCAAGTCAATACAGTATATGGTATAGTATGGGGCATAGTATTAGTTAGGCCTAATTTTCTGAGCATTTCACATGTCCTATCCTATTATGACCCATCATGGATGCTTCCATCCTGCCCAAACTATAGGAAATCCTCTCACAGGCAAATAGGAAAATCTCAGGCCTAGCCCAATTAATAGTTGGCCTGGTAATTCTGCCTTCAATGCTGCCTTAAAAATCTGATAGCAGCAGCATAAAATGTCTGCAGTGGAAGCAAAATACTATGGAATAGTTGTTGCACCAAGCCCTGTACGTGGCTGATGTTGCAATTGTATTTTACCCTTAAGCATCATCCTTTCAAGGCATTAAAGTCTGATAAGGAACATATGAAGAATTAGACAAGCTTTGCCTGTCTTCTTGATGCTTTGTTTTCATGTAGTATTATTTGTGTTTTGGGACTCAAAATAGATCTGAATAGGAGGAATCTGTAATTGGATATTTCCACATCGGGCAAGAGTTTTTCCAGTCCTACATGCAAAACATGTATCCTATCACTGAGGTGCAGTCTGTCCCACTAAGGATATTTTTTAGATTTAGATCCAGAAAAGAGAACATGAGGAAAGAGTTAAATTCTTCTCCACTGCAACTGTTTTGGTCAAAATTGGAGCTCCCAACAACTTCCATAAAGTTCAGTAATCCAGTCATGATTCTCCCAAATCCCATGGTTGCCCCCCCCCCCGCTTCAGGTACTACAAGGATATAGTCCAATTAGTGTTAATTTTTCTAGTTCTTCACAACATTATTAACAGTGAAACCATACACTTTTCTATTTTTAGTGCTGAGTGGGGGTCCACTCATTGGAAATTATAGGCTGCGGCAAATTCACTTCCACTGGGGACCCAGTGATGACATTGGCTCTGAGCATGCAGTGGATGGAACAAAATTCGCAGCAGAGGTAAAGCACTCTACTGAACTGTGTAAAAGTTTTGATCAATTTTGGCTGCATCCCTAAAGCCGCCTTCTGTCAGGCAGACTTGTGGGGGCAGGAGAATGAAGTGATTCCAGCAACAAAATAATTATACAGTTCCATTTGTCAATCTTATCGCAGAAAAAGAGTGCCAGTTGGATTAATTCAGTGATGTGTGATTGTGTGACAACACAGAATTTATTTGAGCAGGATCAGACAGGAGGAATTATATGGTATATGAAGAGCATCATATTCAGGAGTATTGAATCGCTTGAATTTGTCTCTTTATTAGGTTTAAAATTTAGAACCAACTTGGCCTGGACATTCCTGCTTTGTGTCACACTGATTGTAGGCATACTTGCTTCGTAGTAAATCCCATGGATTTCAATGGGACTTACTTCTAATTAAATTTGCTTAGAATCACAGTATCAGTTTTCCTGCAGTCTGCGTTCAGCAACTTCTCACAACTGTGGTAACTTCTGTGGTGTGCTCAGTTACGTTTGCTACTGCCTTTGATTTCTGTGTAATGCACATTGACGTTTGAAAATGGTTGCATTGTACATTACACAGCAGATAATTTCCACGGTTTGCCACTTGCTGGTGGACCCTGTGACATCTGAAGTGAGACACATTTGAACAAACGCTCAAAGACATCCCAAGAATGCTGCGCAATGCCCTGGCTTCCAAGCATGTGTCTCCTGTGTGTTGGTGGATGCACATCTTGCTTTAAAGTGTCTCACAGGTGATTTCCAGGGCATGTGGTAAAATACGCAAAACTATCTGTTGTGTAAAGTTGGGCGGCCCTGAAATGGTCAGCTGTTTTGAATGTTGATTGCCAAATGCCACAGAATGCAAAATCACATGAGGCTGTGTGTGCTATTTCTTCCTTGGGAATTTATTTAGCTTAAACATGATAAAGTCCTGTACACATATGAAGAAAAGCCAACTAAAATTCTAATGGAGAGGAAAGGCTCCAAAACAGGATGGTATGATCCAATCCACTGCAGATGTAGCATTTGAATTTGGAACTTTTCCTTTGGCTTAGTAGATTCCTTTTCTCTTCCCTTTGTTGCTGGTACAGATGCAGGCAACACAAATTGCTCGGGTGAACAGGTGAAGAGGTAGTTTGCGTGTGCCATTATCTCTCTCTGTACGTATCTCCCATAACTAGAGATGGGTATAAGTAGTATGTACAGATTTCACATTCACCTTGCATTTCATCTTTGTTGCTTGTGTGTGCACTCGGCAGGAAAGTAGGTATCTGTTGAGCCCATGGAAATTCTCCACACATTGGCATCATATTTTGAGCTTTATATGTTGTATAATACAGGTGATAGAGGGAGATATTTTCCTGAATAAAAACGGGGACTATAAAAATCTTCAATAGATATTTCTATATTTTCCCAAATTCAGGGGGAAAAGCTATTCTTTCATGTTTCTTGATTTATTGGTATAATTTCACCTCATGATCCCGACAAGAAGTAGAATCTGTACACATATTATAATTTATGTTCATTGGCTACCTTATTCAAAGAAATGAACACTTGTATCTGCTTCTTTCATTGGAATTAATGAGGAAGCACTTCCAGGTGAGGAAATTTCAAGTAGATTTAAGAATACTCTGAAGCAAGGCATCAATTCTTTGATTATTTGCTTCAACATTGTTTCAGTGTTGAAACAGAATGCCAAACATTCTAGGTTAAGTTTGCAAAAGCCATCGTGCATAAACGAACATTTGAAAATATTGCTTCCCCTGTCCTTAAAAAGCAGAAATGGCTTCCAGTTAACTAAAAATTAAAAGGGAAATTATTCAGTGTCTTCTCATTTCTGAAATGCAAAAGTGTTCTTAGATTAGAAGCAATTCTGAATTGGATGTCTATGCTTAACAGCACTGTAACCCAAGTGTTGAAGACTGGTGAGCAATTTCCTTAGTAAAATAAAGCTGGGGGAAAATGTTGACTGACTAAGACTAGTGGGAACAATCAGTTTGGGGGGAAAATGACCATTTGCAGTGTTTAAAGACTTATGTTTTCCACAGGAACCAGGTGAGATGGAATATAACGAATTAATAAGAGGTGCTTAGAAAACACTATGGTCCAAAACAAATATATAGCTGGAAAAAATAAGTTACAGCTAAGAAAACAAATGGAAGGAGACAGACAATATTTAGGAATTAGTTAGTCTAAAAAGGTTTCCCATTGCTGCTTATAAACATCTTCAAGAACCCACTAGAAAAACCCTTCTGATTTTGGAAAAAAGACCCTAGATCTGAGAGAGAGAGCAAGATCACCAGGCTGACCTTATAGGTGGAGAGGCATCCAGAGGATCAGTGGCTAGGTGGCAGTTTTCAGTGTTTAGTTCCATGAAGAAAAAGGCTCTTTGGCTCAAGAATGCACCTCTGCCAAATTGGCACATGCAAGAAGAAAGAGCTGCTCTGCAGTCAGAGAAGACAACATATTTCCCCTGGCTCATGATCTCAACAAGCCAATGGATCCAAGGTCCCAATAAAATGGGGGAGCCTATCCTCTGGACCCTGTTGCCTCGGAAAGGCTCAGAAGTGCCGAATGGATGATGATGATGGTGATGATGATGATGATGCATAAAAGAAACAGGCCTTAAAAGATTTCTCCAACAAGCTGTGGTCCAAAAGCGGTGGTAAGACAAGATACATACATCCTTTAAAAGAGAAGTCACAAGCCATTGGGAATGGGACTCCCCCACAGTATTTCACATTTTATTTGTGTCCTTTTTTTCATTTGTTGTTTTCTATTAATCTACAATAAAAACCATTCCTGCCGAAAGCATTTGTTTCCTTTTTATAACACTCATAATATTCTTAAATTTACACAGTCCAGCTTTTAAGTGAAGGTATAAGCTTCGGATGTTGTTGACCCCTTAAGTTGCAGAATACTGAGCAATTTGTTGACCTGAGCAATCAGAACTCACATATCTTACTCAGAATAATACTTTGCACTAACATAACGGTTTTCCTGCAAGAACCTTTTAAGCCCTCCATCCAGCGTGCATATCTGAGGATTCATGTCAAGGAAAAAAAGTGGGGATATGGCCTAGTGGGAGGGACTGGCGTATGAGTTTGCCCAAGGCAGTTTCATTATGTTTTTTTAAACTTGGCCCATACTAGGACTGGCTAGATGGATCTTCAGAGCTTTGGACCAACGTGCATGGAGCTTCCAAAGGACAACATACATCAAGATGGCTCTGGGCTATTTGTAAAAAGAATTTAAAAGGCCCAAATACTCCAGCAGTTGTTACAGAGGGTTGTCTGGCTTCAGTAAAGTGATGATTAATCACATTTGCTTTCTTTCCAGCTTCACGTAGTCCACTGGAATGCAGACAAATACGCTACTTTTGTTGAGGCTGCTCGCCAGACAGATGGATTAGCAGTCATGGCTGTTTTCTTAAAGGTAAGATGTTTGTGTGCCCGAGCACATGGATTTTCTCCCCCAGAAACATTAAAACAAAGCTGGGAAGCTGTGGACCAGACTTTGCCTGATGCTGCACAGTACCAGTCTTTTAAAAATTCCAGATAATAGGTTATTCTTCTTCTTGGTCTTGGTACATCACACCTTTTGAAAAGGTTATTTTCAGTCAAAACCAGACTGAGTTTCAGCAGATCTGCCCTTGGTACAACTTAGGCAAAATCTAATCCAGCAACTGTGGTATGGAGATGATCATTAGGTTTAGAACCATAGGAAAGAGGGCTAGCCTTTTCTATTGTACTTGTTTCTGAACATTTTTTTTTTGTTAGCCAAAAATCTTCCATAATTTTCTTAAAAACTCCAGAATACCTATGGGATATTCTAGCAGTCTTCCTGAACATGGTGCCCTTCAGTTGTGTTAGGCTGCTCTTCCCTGTCATGAGGTCAGGCAAGGTTCCTTAGGCAAGGTTCCGCACACATTTGAAATTTGTGTGGCATCTGAAAGGCAAAGCAGAAATATTTTTTCTAGTATTTAGTGAGAGAACAACAGCTCAAATGCAGCATATTCAGAAAGCATCTCTTCTCACACATGGCTCTGCATTTCCCAAGAACCTCCAGGAAGATTTTCTTAGTGGTAAAAACGTAGTGCTTATAGCACAACTTAGTGGTGCTATAGTAATGAATAGCCTTCCCTAAAAGGCTTGCTTACTAACAATACTTCTCAAGTTTCCCAGAAACATTGTTTTCCTCTGCATACTAATGTTGTAAAATTTAATATTTTGGCTTGTTATTATTTTATTTTAGTTTAGTTTTTTTTAAACATTTAAATTATTTTTAAATAAATAAAATAATTTTAAAATAATTTAAACAGGTTTCTTCTGTTCATATTAATCTTCTGGTATTCTTTTCTTTTTTCTATTTGGTTTTTAAACTTTCAACACTGTGTTGAGCATTTTGATGAAAAAGAGGACAAGAAATTTCAACAATAAGTGAAATATATCATTACTTTTACAAGTTTATTTAAACAAATCAATTAATTTGGCTTTTGTATTTACAGTTGGGTGAATGCAATTCACAGCTGAAGAAAATCACAGACCATTTGGATGCTATTAAGGTCAAGGTAAAGTCATTCTAAGCAGAATGTTTGTCACAATCCAGGACATTCTTATGGGTCTATCTGCATATTCTGTTTCACATTCTGCCCCTGACAACTGCCTTAACACTCTTGTGTGATAAACTTAGAAACATTCAGATTTGTGTTATCTTAATAGCCACTATCTTGACTATCTTGGCTAATATCAAACCCAGGAGTCTCAAGGCACCTAGGAGGTCATCTAGTGCATCTATAGCATCCCTGAGAAAAGGTCAGCCAGCCACCCTCTGCTTCAGCATTTCCAGTGAAGGAGAGTCCACTTCCGCCAAGGCAATCTGCTTCTCTGTCAATCAGCTTGTACTGTTATGAAGTTTCTCCTAGGACCTAGCAAAGTATGCTTCCTTACTATTTCTACCTGTTAGTTCCAGTGTCGCCCTGTGGAACAACCAAGAACAAGTCTCTTCTGTCTTCTGCATGACAGGCTTTCAGATATTTGAAAACCTCTCTCATATTGTTTCTTCTCCTTTCCCCTCCAATCTAAATACACCCAGCTCTGTCAACTGTTCCTCATAGGTCTTTATTCCATGCGCCATGCTATCTAGGTCACCTTTCTGTGGATGGATGCTCTGTAAATGGATATGTGCAAACAGGAAGTGGACAAATGACAGAATCCAGGGAGAGGGGAGAATAAATAGCATGATCACCTCAGCAGAACAAGTAAACAAAAGGCAATTTGTTGTCTGGCTGCATTGCTTTCCTTTCAAAAGCTCATTCTCATACAATCTATAATAATATTTCAGAAACCTGTAGGATTGTAATAGAATGAAGCTTTGAGTCTCCAGTGCTATCTCATTTCAAGGAAGCTAAGCTTGATCTACAGGCAAGTACATTGTATTAGTGTCAGGAATAAGTTTTCCTGGAAGAATAACTGAACTGGGGTACAGGAGCCAAGATGAAGTAAATGGCTCTTCAAAGAAATTAGAGCAGTGGTTTGCATGGAGCAGTATTATTACTGTGGACAAGGGAGTAGCAGAGATGAGAGAGTCTTATTTATTCTGCTTCAAAGGCCCTCCCACACCACAAAAACAAACGAACTTCAGAGCATGCTGTCAAAGATAGATAAGAAGGTTCCTGAGGCAGATGAGATGCTTATGAGCTTGCATAATGGTGGTTTGGAGTCAGTTACTGAGAATTAAGAGATTTTGGCAAGCTAGGGAGCCTGCCAGGGAGGGAGAGGGAGAAATGCTGTAAGAAAACAGTCTTAAGACAGGGAAGATTGTCAGAGAAGCATTGAGAAGAAATGGAGCTGGAGAAAGTGCAACCCAAACTGTGAGTAAGAGTCTTTAGGGAAAATGAATTGCAGCCATTGGTAAGAAATTTATATGAGCTTTTCTCTCTCTCTCTCTACCTGTGGAAGAGAAAGGAGGTGGAGGGGAAGCTGTAAGTGGCATATCTCCTTGAGACAGGAAGACTGCCTTTATTCTGGCTGAAAAAAATCAACAGAAGAAATTGTAGACATCTCTACTAGCAATAAGGTAAACAGGAGGCAAAATGCCTAGCAGTGTTTGCTAATTTTTCTTCATTGTTTTTGTTCAGGGCAAGCAGCACAGGTTCACCAATTTTGATCCTTCCTGCTTGCTCCCTCGGTCTCTGGACTACTGGACTTACCTTGGATCTCTCACAGTCCCTCCTCTTCTTGAAAGTGTCATCTGGATCATTCTAAGAGAGCCTATAAGTGTTTGCTCTGAACAGGTTTGTTTTACCTTTGCATTACCAACTAATAGAATCCTAGATTTCAAAGGTAGCTTCATTATCGTTTAGCTGAACCTTGTTTGTGCTTTCACATTCCAAATCTGTTTTTAAGTAGGATGTCCACAATAATGTTTGTAATTATTTCCATGCTGAATTGGAAGAACACCAGCAAAATTGGAACAAATGTTCCAATTCAGCTCATTTTAAAGTTGCAGAGCAGTTTTAGAACAATTTCATGCTAATCTTGACAAATGCTAATAGTGTAACCAATATTTTCTGCTAACCCCGCAGCCATCATTATGGCCAGTGGTATGTCTGCATCCATAGCGGTTCCAAGTATTCTCAGTACCCAGAGACGCATTTCACACACGTGTGCCTGGACGCTGTGCATGTGCGTGCTCATACGAGTGAGGGTTGGCCTCCTATATTAAGCATAGGCAGGTCTTGTCTGGATGCAGTTGGCGCTATTTTCATGCTGTGGTTGTCCCATTAGAATTGAATAGCAGCCCTCATGTATTTGGGGAAAAGTAATGCTACCCTGACCAAATGATTGAAAGAGAGTATAAAAATGCTGACTGTTTTGTTTAGGGTACCATTTTTGTGACAGCTAGACCTATTCTTTCCTACTGATGACTACAGCCATTGAAAATCAACACTACGTAGCACAACCCTTTAACTTTGCGTTAGTTCTTCCAAGGAGTTTATGACAGCATACGGTAGAGTTCCACACCAGCACATCTGTCCACACTTTATGGGTTCTTGGAAACTAGTTCTTACATAAGCAAAATATATTTGAAATATATTTCTTGTTTACTTCTGTTGAAAACATTGAAACATACAATGGATAGCTAATTATAGTCTGTTCAGTTACTGGGCATGATTGTGATCTCCCTGTATGGACAGAGGAAGTGAATGCATTGTGCAATCTCTTTTGCAGCAGCATTTATAAAATACTATGTGGAGGAGGGTTCTTAATTGGAGCAAGGGCAGAACCTGTGTCTGCTGCCTTCCAAGTGTCATTTCCATTACATCCACAGACTGTACACAAAAAGCTGTTTGCTCACTGATTTTTAATGGCTTTGTTGGAAATAGCAACAACCGCAGCAGCTGTTCCCTCACTGATAGCAAACCTCACTAGCACAGGAGTGCTGTAGCTGCACGGGCAGTGCCTTAGAACCTCGGTGGAACCTCCAGATGTTTCTGAACTTCAGTTCCCACCATTTCCATCCCACAGAGCCAAGGGTCCCGGATGAAGGGAGTTTTAGTTCAACAACATCTTGCAAACCACTGCTGCTGAGAAGGAAAAGAAATACTTGCGTGCACATGTCTGGAGTTTGGTATTAATGTGCTATTTCTTTTCTGGTGTTGTGTTTTGTTTTAACCTTTTTCATCCACAGCTAGCCAAATTTCGCAACCTTCTCTGTACTGGTGAAGGAGAAGCAGCCTTCTGCATGCTGAAAAACTTCAGACCACCACAGCCCTTAAGAGGCCGGGAAGTGAGAAGAAATTAAAAGAGAAAGAAGGGAGGATAATTCACAGCTATAGCTGACACCATTGAGAAAGCAAAACACAGTTTTGATGCATTTTAAAATAGGCTATATTCTTATTAGGAAATCATCCAGCCAATGTGAAGTATTTTAAAGTCCTAAGAATGTTGAGAAGAGATTTAAGTACATGCACATGTGCTTAAAGCAAATTTTAAGCACATGCTTAACTCTCATTTGAAACCACTAGATTGTTAAATGCTTGAAAAGGTCCTGGATTGTGCCCCTGATTTTAATAGATAAGTTGATGTTTCTGCTCAGCTATTTGCATCAGTTATTTAACTTAATAGATACTGGTTTGTTGCTGTTTAATTATTATCAATAAGAACCTATTACTGAATATGAAGAATAAAATTGATAAGGTTAGGTATGATTGTATTACAAGCTATGCATTAGTTTACAGTCAGTTATAGCACAATAAGCCAAAACTGTGTTCTGTGGTCTGAATGAGTTTCACACCTTATGTGAATGTGTTGTAATGTTGTAGAGTGGCAGTATTTTATCTAGATTGGATAGGTCTTGTTAACACTGTCTTAGATATAGGATGGCATCTTGGGACAGAGGATTAGAAATACATGATTCATTTAGTCTCTTTCAACTTGTGTGGGATTCCAAGCAACGTCCTGGGGATTGCAGTAATAGGGAATCCCCAGCACTTTCAAAAATGATAACTCTTAGCAGTGTAGATACACTGAAACTCTGCTGTTGCAAACCTCAAATTCCTTTTCTGCCTGTCATTCCTAAACATTCACTGCAGGCCCCTGGCCTTTCCATCTAGCAGCTGGAAGGAATATGGGCAAGCTTTTTTCTAACCTCTTTGCCAAGAGACCAAATCTAAATAGTAGGCGTGTTTTGATAGCTACTGAGATAGTTAAGAATCTTCACTTCCCTCAAAGTCTGCCTTTCCTTTTAAATTTCTGAAGACATTTGTTAAAATGAAATCAGAACATTTTGGGGGAAAATAACCTTGAAAAAACTGCAGTCTCTAGAGGTCATAGCTGCATGCTACAGGTAGAAATTGTCTAGCTGTTCCAAAGAAAAAGCAATCATCCTGCCCCATAACACCCCTCCCCTGAGAGCTGAGGCTCAGATGCTCATAACAGGGAGATGTATGGATACTGCTGACTGAATCACCCTGAAGTTAGCCATTGTCATCTCCTGTAACCCACGACCAATGAAGTACCTGTGTGTGCACGTCTATGTATAAAGCAGGAGCAAGCAATATAGTGTCTTCTAGATGTCTTCTACTACAACTCCCATAAGTCCTGTCATTGGTTATGCTGGTTTCAGCATTTGTGGGTTGTAGCAGAAAACCTCTGAAGTGCTTCCAGTTGTCTTTCTGTAGTATACAGGATAAATGAATGTGTGACAGATTATATTTTCATTCTTTTCCTTTTTAAAATGCTGAGTTGTGCCTCATACTTTTATGTTGTCTGAATAGCTGCATTAAGAAGACCCTGTAAGGGGTTCTAAAGAAGTTATTTGTGTCGGGGCAGGAAGCAGTGAACCTGGGGCTATTAATATATGTTTTCATGTTAGAATTTAAAGAAAGCCCCCAAAAGATATATTTTAATTTATTAGTAGTAAATTGTGTTTGTTCTGTAAGTTTATATTTATGCAATACTTCCAATAAAAGCATTTACAAATACAAACATTTTCTATTTTCATATAGCCTTTTAATGTATTTCTTAGAATTGAAGTTGATTATGCTAAGCTCAGCCTCCCGTTCCATCTAGCCCACTATTGTTGCCATAAGTTTGGTGCAGAACCTTTTCTAGCAGTAGAGATGGTGGGGTTCACACCTGGCATTTTTGCATGGAAAACAGGACGGATGTTATGGCAGATCTGTTGCTCATGGGAAGTTCCAGGGTCGCATCTTCCCTGGGTTTGTTTTTTCTTGCAGGGACTGGCCGCCGCTGCCACCACCACCCCATAGCCAAAGCTTTCTGGGCAGCTTGTAACAATTCATAAAACATATTTGCATTTCTTTACAATATAGGTCAAGCAAAAAGCATAGGAGTCTGACAAACCTCAAAACCATCCTTAGATCTTCATCACTCCATGATGCTCTTAACTTTCCAGGCCTTCAAACCTCCAATTTCTCTTTTTAAATCCACTTTAAACTGTAGTTCCTTGCTTCCTTTACACACAGCCACACATGCACAAGTACCTTGCCCCTATTTTCAGTGCGGAGGAAAACAAGTCACCTCCTATTTCCTTGTTTTTCTGGAACATTTATTTGTAATCTCCTAAACATAAAATGCCCTTCCACCCTCCCTGTACCTTAATGCTCTTCCTTTGAGACCCCAGATTCATTCACAGCAATTGGGGGTGTGGGAACTTGCCACATGGCCAATTTGCAGAAGGGACTCTCATGATCAGTAGTAGCTTCCAAAAAATCACCATTTAGAATCCATTCCTACCTGTGTGGTTTGAGGGCCTCTTTCCCCATTTCCCCTGTTCCCAGTGAGTTCTGCTGGCAAATCATGTAGTAAACTTGAAGCGTTTCCTATACATGAGACATAAAGATGACCTTTTGTCCCAGAAGTTCAATAGATTGTGAGGATCAGCCCATAGCCAAAGGCATTCTGATACAACTGTTCTGCCTTTGTATTAGGTCTGCCACAGACTAGCAGTACAAGCTATTTAAGCCTGCTTGGATCCTTCAGCATGTTTAGCAGCATCTGTTTCTTTCCCCATCCTCTTGCTGGCTTTGCTTCTGCTTAACAACCAGCTTGAAGAACATAGTGAAAATGGAAAGCTTGGTCACAGCTTTGTGGCTGTTAGCTGGGCTCAATGGTGCTGTTTCTGAATGTTTCTAGAAGATGATGTCCTTAGGGAAGAGCCTCTTTCGGACTAAGGACTGAACTCCATTCTGGAAAAGGTCTTGGAGACACACTTATTTATAAAATTTGTGTGCCATCCAATTACTTGCGTCTCTGGATGGCTTACAACATAAGTAAATTCCAATTGTGGGTGCGGGCAAAGACAGAGGGATGGGGCTACAGAGTGGAAGAGACATTACTGTAGGTTAAAGCTATTACTCCCACTTACTATGTCTTAGGAGAAGCATTTCAACATACTGAATGAGGGGAGAGCTGCACGAAAGGCAAGCAAACCACAGTAAGGTTAAGGGAAAGGAGAGGGGTGTGGCCTTCTGGGAAACCTGAGAAGACCAGACAGGGACCGCCCCAGTGTCTGAGATTCTGCACTCAGTAAGACAGAGAAGATGAGAAAGCGATTGCAGCCACTCCAATTCCTCCCATTACTCCTCTTACACTGTTCTATATTGGTGCCATACTAGTGACAGAATAGATGTATGGAAGCATATCAGCGTCTCATGCTAAAATATTACTTTCTACCATGATTGATTCATTTTTCCAAAGTGGAAGATACATAGGAATATAAAAATTATTTAGTTAAAAAGGTGAAAGATTTATACGATCTGAAGGGAAACCAGAAATTATTTCAGGACTTATTTTGCACTTCTCTTATGTATTAAGAATTCAAGAAAACAGACAACTCAAGAACATGAACCCACCCATCCTTGATTTATATTCCATGCCAGCTTTCAACAAAGCTGGGGTGATGAGAGGTCTAGTCCAGGATATCTGCGTGTCTCCAGGCTGGAAAGGGTTGTTCTATACTAATACTAGTACCACACATACTCGGTTTATTGTATTCAGAATCATCCTACAAGCATTTCATGATAACTGTTTCCTATGATTTTATTTACATGGTGAGTAAGCATTCAGTTTGTTTAATGCATTCATCCTGCTTGCAGAATGAGCCATGTCAATTCCTGTACAAGACAATGCTAAAAACAAACAATCCTAATGTATCAGTATTAAAGGCAGATTTCTATTTAGGAAGTTAAACTGGCATTACTTAAGTGGAGCACAATGACAAATTAGACTTGTAATCAAAAGCCAAATACCAAGTATGATGCTGAACTCAAAAGGATTATCTGTGCTTTATGCTGCTAAATTGAAGTCTTTGCTCAATGTGCATGGAGCATGAAATCTGAACTGAGTTGATGAAAGCCTGCACAGAGTAAGGCATATTGCCTTCATCACCAGGCTTTGGCTAAATTCAGATGTTCCAGTTGGTTTAGGAAAGTACCAATAGTCCTGAAGACTTTGTACACCATTTAATCACCCTCTTTCCATCTTATATGCTGACTTCCAGACCCATTTAGGGTTCCCTTCTAATTGTAGTTGGCCATGGTTTCTGAATCTAGGTAAGCTTGGTTTGCATTAACCTCCAAAACACAACTCAAGCCCATAGTATCAAGGTTAATGCTCGTAGTTGCCTGATCTGGACATCATAGCACACTAGGATTGATGGAAACTCAGACCATGAGAGATGAAGCAGCAGAGGAAGCAAGCAAGTACTTGGCACATCTTTAATCTTCCTAACTACGGGAGACTGGTGGCGCCTGCATCAATTGGGCTCCCTTTCTATTGCAGCCTTTATTTAGAGCTTTATAAGAGCTATCATGTAGAAGCTGAAATAGAGGCAAATGTCTGGGCAGATCAGAATCCGGTACTTTTATCACTAAAAGGAACTGTAAGGACGCCCAGACGGAGTCTAGACAAAGCACTGCTAAAAGATAAAAAATTTACAGAAAAGATAAAGAAATGCAAGTATTCTTTCAAATAAACAAACCAGAAGAAACTTCTTTACAGAATGTCTGGGATACAGCTAAAGCCTATGCCAGGGGAGTGATAATAACATACTCAGCGCAAATAAATAAAAAGAAAAAACAAGAGTGAACAGTGATAGTAGAGGAGTTGATGAAACGGGAACAAGAGCTGCAGGAAGACCCAACAAAAGAAAGTTTCAAATGAATATCTTAAAGCACAAGTTAAATCTCTTGGACACAAATGAATTTACTAAACAAATGAAGTTGACCAAACAGAACTTCTTCAAAAATGCTAATAAACCAGGGAGATGGTTAGCACATAAAGTAAAGAAAGAAAAAGAGATTGATTGGGAAACTGAAAGATGGAGAAGGACAATTACATATACAAGGTGCACAAATTAAGAAAATAGCGGAAGACTTGTTCACAAAGTTATATCAGAAGGAGGAGATTTCAATCGAGAAAGTTAAAGAGTATATTCGAAAGGGAGAACTACCAAAAATATCAGAAAAATATCAAAAACTACTGAATCAAGAAGTAATAATCACGGAAGTAATAGAGGCAATTAAGCGACAAAAGAATGACTCCTGGCCTGGATGGACTGCCAGCTGAGTTTTATAAATCCTTTGAGGCAATCTTTGCTACATTCTTAAAAGGTATATGCAATGAAGCATTGTTAAATGCTAAAATAGCAACTACTTGGACTGAGGCAAATATTACATTAACACCAAAAGAAGATATGGATGTAACACAGATTCAAAACTACAGACCTATATCATTACTAAATGTGGATTACAAAATTTTTGCCTCTATACTGGCAGAAAGATTAAAGAAGTTCCTAATAGACTTTATCCATCCAGATCAAAATGGCTTTTTGCCAAAAAGACAAATGAAGAATAACCTGAGAACTATCTTGGATATTTTAGAATATTATGAGATACATACTGAAAAACCAATGGCTTTACTGTTTATGGATGCTCAAAAAGCCTTTGATAATGTCAATTGGCAATTTATGATGCAACAGATGATTCAAATGGAGTTTGGTGAAAAGTTTATGAATGCGATATCAAGTATTTATCAAAAACAGTCAGCAAGGATTTTAATTAATGGAGAACTTTCAAACCCTATAGAGATCCAAAAGGGCACAAGACAAGGATGTCCGCTGTCACCCCTGTTGTTTATTTTGATCTTAGAGGTACTGAATAGAAGTGTTAGGGATGATGAGGACATCAAAGGCACTAGAATTAGGGACGAAAGTTATAAATTGCAAGCATTTGCAGATGATTTGGTCTTTATAACGGAGGAACCTTTTGTAACAATGCCTAAACTTTTACAACAGATTGAAGAATATGGTGAGGTTACGGGAATGAAAATAAATAGAGAAAAAACGAAACTGTTAGTTAAAAACTTTATGCGAGACCATAAAGAAAGACTCCAGGAACAAATAGATTTGCAGATTGTTAAAAAGGTTAAATACTTGGGAATCTATCTTACAGCCGAATGTACTTCTTTGAAAGAAGATAATTATGATAAATTATTGAAGGATATTAAAGGTGATTTGGAAAAATGGGCCAATTTACAAGTTTCTTTGATGGGAAGAACAGCACTTGTTAAAATGAATATATTACCTCAACTTTTGTTTTTGTTCCAAATGATTCCCGTAAAAATTGATAAAAAAAATTCTTTGATGACCTAAACTTTCAAATTTTGAGATTTATCTGGAGAAAAAAGAAACCAAGGATTAAATTAAAAATGCTTCAGGAAGCTAAAAGGAATGGAGGCTTTGGTCTTCCTGATTGGATGTTGTATTATCAAGCGTCTGTTTTAGTTTGGCCAAAAGAATGGATAACTTTGTGAAATAAGAGAATTTTGTATCTTAAAGGTCATGACTTGCAGATGGGTTGGCAAGCTTATATGTGGTACGAGAAAGTTAAGTCGCATGGGTCTTTTCTTAGTCATTTTATTAGAAGATCATTAATGTAAGTGTGGGAAAAACTTAAGGTAAAAGT